CCTTCTTTTTGATCGAACGCTCTCTTCCATGTGTTGAAAAGGAGAGGAGACGAATGAACTCCGAATCGCGGACCGCGCCGCCGATATGAAAGCAGATGAAAAAGGTTGCGCGATCGTCAGAGATATATGACGAAGGTGTGACAGCTTCTGTTGTCATGTGCTACTCGACGAACCGCTCCAGAGGTCTAGGCACGGTCTGTAACCACATATCAAAATCTCTTCGTTGCCTTACGCCCTTGAGAACTGTATCATCGGAGGTCCGCTTACCATTCCCCACAGCATTCCCGGTCTGGATCTGTCACAGCGTGACAAAGGCAACATAGCATCTCACTGTGTTGCGACCGATTGTTGGTTCAACCGCTAGTTAAACTCACGGCTGTTTGATGGACGGTGCCTGCAAAACAGCCTCCAGAGTGGGAAGCAACTAAAGTTGACCCAACAGAACCCACACATTATACCTAAAGGTCCGTGCCACATACCTATTGATCTTTTTGATTTAACCATTCACCTGTGTGGTAACATGGTATGTGCATAATATTTGTCGGCCGTGTGTATGTGTGTATGTGCTTATATGTACAGGAATCTTCTCGCCTGTTTCATGAACAAGATGAAGGTGTATGCACGAGGCTTTGCCACCAGGGCTGCGGCTGCAAGCACATCAAAAGCACGCCGTTCGCCTTTCTTGGTTTGACCTGAACAGAGTGGCGCTTGCGCAGCCATAACCGGTCCTCTGGCGAATCTTGGGCAGTGTCGCAAGGCAAGTTCACCCGCCGTCAGACCGTTGCCGTTCCGCCTGGGTCAGCGATAAGCCCTGACACCCAATACGCAGCTTCCTTCTGCAGATTGGCAATGCCTGGAAGGGTCTGCACCCATGCGCAGCAGCATTCTGACCTTGAGAGTCTCAACTTGAGAGCTTCAGGATCTCGGCCCTGTGCACCATCCCAGATGCTGGGAGCTGAACCATTTCTGCGTCGTACTGACTCGCCGCTGCATGCAGAGGGAACCAACGAGGGTAGCCTGCATCGAGGCTTCGTACACATCGTCTCACGTCAACAGCCCGACCTAGGGATTGGCGTCGAGAATCATTCACGCCTCGGCAAGATCACACTTTAAAGAAGAGAAGTGTCTGCAAACGTCCCTCGCAAGCCGCCGCACGCCTTTGAAGCCATGTTCGGCAAGGAAGTCAAGCACTCTTTTGTGAGTTTGCCGCTCCTTGGAGCGATGCAGGCTGGCATCGTCGGGGCCGTGGATTGCCCTACTCTGCAGCGAAGTCTCACGTCGAATGATGTGCACAAGCCTAGGGACTAGGGAGGAGCGCTTCATGAACACAACTCCATGCGCTTCACACCGCGCACGCGGCCTGTCAGTTTTCGCAACTCCATCGGGACGAAAAGCCCGACAGCAACCATGCCTTGCCAGGTGTCATGCGACCGACAGCTTCTACCCGACGCGCTGCAGAAACCGAGTCAACACACCAGCTCTTGCACATCCAGCGTCACAGTGTCATGCAATTTCGCCCTCTCAAGCCTGCAAACCATGATGCTCTCGCTGCTGCCATCACGAACCCTGTGCACCAGCACAGCTCAATTCCAAAGGTCTTCTTGGAAACATGATGAAGCTTGCGACCATCCGTCCCTGCATGTCTGAGCATAGCAAGATCATCCTACAGGTGATGCCCTGCGGCTCTTCCCACCTGATCGGCGGTTCCGACTGCGTCTGGCTTCGATGTTTGCGGTGATCCTGCGGGCAGGGCCCTATTTTGCATCATACGTTGCAATGCTGGGGACGGTGGCCCGCGGCAGCTGGCCTGGCTGACTTGGCTGCTGCTGAACATTCCGCGGAGGCGCAGTGGGCCTCCCAAAATCAGAAATCAATTTCGAGGACTCCACAGCCGAGCCGAAGGTTCGATCGGATCCTCGCGGCCTCGCCTCGATCGGAGCGCAGGCTGCTTTGAATTCCTTCACAGTGAGATGGAGATTCCTCGGAGGACGCGAGACGCGAGAGGAGCTCTTTCTCAGGCTGCACTCTGCAGCACAGCGCAGCGCATGCGCGGAGGAGCGTGGCGCATGTCGCCCAGCGGCTGGAAACCGAGGAGTCGCGGGCTTTTGCCGCACGGCTGCCATTGGAGGAACCGTCCTTCGAAGCAAAGCTCCAGAAGAAAACGTCGCGACGCGACGGGGTTGGCCGAGGCTTGTGCGTCGGCGGCTCGTCTGCTTGAAACGTCACTAGGCGCCTTTGGCAACACCTGAGGCTACGGCACAGCTCAGGACACAGCACGGCAGCGCGGCGCAACGCAGCGGATGCTTCTCCAGCCTGTCTCTCTCCTCGGTGCAGCCTGGACCGGAAGCCAGGGAGCCTAAGAAAGTTTCCCGAACCGAAAGGCAGGGCCGGTGGCCTCCAGAGGGCCCTGTCTGTACTGTTCCAGAAGCCTCAGGTGATGCAGGGCGATGCGCCGCGTGCCACGGGCTGGAGACGCCTTTGGGCCGCGGCCAACTGGCACTCGCTCTCTGGGGCCGTCTCCGCCTCTGCGAGCCTCGGGCGTCGGGGCCTAAAGCCCTCTTTTGCCTGCTGACACATCCGCAGTCCAAGGGACGACGGCGACCCTGCTTCGACGTCGTCCGCCTCCGATGCCAGCGCTGCGGTCTCGGGGTCTGGGACCCTCCTCACCCGTAGACCTCTGAGGCAAAGACCCACTCGTCTGTGCTCTCGCCTGTTTTATACTTCAAGGAAGAGACTGTCCGGGTCCTGAGGAGGCGCTGCTTTTTGGATCAGATGCAAGATACAAGGCGACGAGCAACGAAAGTCACGAAAGTGCACCGAGATGCAGCAGCGGACTCGTGCTCCCACTCACCTTCAAAAGCAGACCGGTACGGACCAACTTGCCAACTTTGCCGGTGCCTTGAAATCCGAGTTCAGGCGTTCCCTCGTCGCGCAGCATGGCGCCGTGAGGGACTGGCTCTGACCCATGACATCAAAGGGCCCATTCACGGAGTCTGCCTACGGTTTGAGCCACGCCAGCCCTAAAGCACAGCAAAGGCTGTTACCTGTAGTACGAAGGAAGACCATGCAGCTGCCAAAGTCGCAGCAAAGACACCGACGACAGAATGCTTCGGCTTTGTGTGCCTGCTGTCCCAAGGCGGCGATGGCGATCCTCGGAGCAACCGGCGCAGAGCCGAAGAGGTCTCAAGATGCCTCGCTCTCCCTCGTGGAAGAGAGCTTTTGAGCCGAGTCGCTGGGCACATGTCCGTACGTTGTGGAGAACCCGGTGGCCTTGGCGCAAGTCTGCGACTGCGATCGCAATGGCATGACTTCAGATCTCAGACATGCACCGGCACGAAGCCGAGACCAAGCGGTGGTTGAGCTGACAGCAGGCAGCAGGGATGAGCAGCCAAGAACGTCCAGGCGTTCCCCTGCTGCCAGAGCCTGGCATGTGCTCCAGCATGTCCGAGGCCAGCTGCGACTGCCCGAATTCAGACCTGTGCAGTGTGATGGTTTGCAATTGCGACTTGCAAGATTCACCGAGGCCGTTGCCCTGTGCAGCCGGGCCGGTGATTGGCGATCTCCTGAATTCCGGCGCCGGATTTCTAGGCGAAGGCGAAGGGAGACTGGAAACAGAGCCCCTGAAGCCTTCGGGCCTTGGAGAGGCACCAGCGTGGGGGAAGCGGGAAGCACAGAGCGCAGGGGGCCCAGAGGATTGAGACGTTTTGGATCGCCAAGCAAGGCTGCAGCGGCTGCAGTCCTCGCAAGGGTCGAGGGGCTTCGGCAAGTTGACCTCGAAGCCAGAAAGCTCCCAAAGGCTGCAAAGGTCTCGGCTGCAGGGTCCGACGTTCTGCCCTTTCTTCATCTCCCAGAAATGCCGGTAAAGGGGATCACAGCCTCATTTCTCCAGGAAATCTAAACAGTGGTGCTGAAAAACTGTGCAGAGGGCCTCTGACTTGCGAAGCTTCTGAGCTTGGAACGAATGTCCCCAGAATATTCTGCCTGCGACACCAACGCGCGATGACTACAGTGCAGCCACTGGGCCGCAGGTGTTCTGAGCGCCTGGTGCCCTTCCAGACTGGACTCTGGGGCAGGCGGTGCCGAAATGGGCCGGTTGATGGGATCGAAGGCCCGAACAGCCTCTCTTGGTGAGCCGTCATTGACCGATACCCCCGCACAAAGCTGAGGGCTGCACACCGGGATGCAGCAGGGCAGGCGCATCATCGCCGAACGGCTGGTGCCTTTGGAGAGTTGCATTGTGCTTCACAGCTCCTAAACCCTGGGCAGCACTTACTCGAACTGAGCTGGCTGCGTGACTGGGCCGTGCAAGCCCGGAGACTGCACAAACGCAGAGGCATCTCAAGTCTGGAGCAACTGCTGACGTTTAATCATGGCCAGGCCCACCCCGAAAGCCGGCGACTGCGAGTGAGGCACCGGAGACTGGCGAATCCGGGGAAGTTGCATGCACTCCTTGTGCCAAGACAGCTGTGCCTGCGACAGCAAGCTGGGGTGAACCTCGGATGCAACGCTGTCCAGACATTGCGCGCCATTCGCATCTCTTCTCTCACAGCTTCCTTTTGCCAGGCGCCTGAAGCCTTCTCTGAGCTAGCTTTCAGCAAGCAGCCTGCGTAGGCGGTGGAGTGTAGCGGTCCTTGAAAGACGTATAAACAAGGCAAAGAAAGGGCAGATCCCCGCGCCCCCCCCTCCATCGCGCGTGGTTGCTGCCGGGGTCCCGGCTGCTTCCAGCGCTGCCGCCTGCAGGGCCCGCGCCGGCGCCAGGAAGAGCGCGGCGGCCGCCTGGCGCTGCCGCGTCTCCGCCGGAGCCAGGAGCGGCAGCCCGGCCGCCGCCGCCGGCGGCTCGCCTGGCTCCAACAACGCCCTACGCTCCTTCTTGGGGGGACGGAGGGGGGCCGGGCCCCTCTGCGCTGTTCCGCCTTCTCCCATGAAGGGCGACGGCGAGCGCGGCGGAGGGGGTGCCACCGCCGCCGCCTGCAAAAAAAAAGAAAACAGCAGACGGCGAGTTAACCCTCATAAAGAAGAGCCTGGAGCCTCAGGGCCTGGGCCTGGAAGGCGAAGAGGTGCCCTTGCGGGTCTTTCTCGCGGGGATCCACCCGGAAGGCCTCGAAGCCGCTCCAAACTCGCACGCCGCTCCAGAAACCTTCCCGGCGCGCGGCCTCCTCGCGCAGCACGTTGACGATCTCCTGGGAGGCGCTTATATAATCGTTCAGTGGAGTATGCCATAGTACGCGCATGAGTCACGTGAGCATACTTCAATTTGCAAGGGAGCCTCCTCAAGGGGCGCGGACCGTGGCCTGCTTGGCAACTCCAGCTGTTCCCTGTACGCCGCTTTCCGCGCCGCCTGCGAGACTGCGAGACTGCGCCGGAAGGGGCACACTTCGCGAAGGGAACGAAGCCGAGCGAGGCCGCTCAGCCGCTCAGAGCCTCGAAGGTCGCCGCAGTCTCTAAGAAGGGGGAGAAGCCTCCACGGGCTCAGCACTCGAGGCTCGAGCTCCGTCATGCAAACGGTCGCATACGCTCTTCCCGGGCACCGCACCGTCTGGATGGAGAATGGGCGGTGCCGAACCCGGTCTGCGCGAGGCGAGACGGCGACGACAGACGTGTCAGTGAAAAATCTCACAGAAACTCACACGCCTGCCCGGAGGCTCCAGCTGCAGAGGCATTGAACCTTCAGAAATCACGAGGTCTTCTGCAAAGCCTTTTCGCATCGAGAGAGTTTGTCCTGCCTAAGAGGTCCGTGATTGCGAGTCCATCCAAACCGTGCGTGCCGGGCTCCAAGGCCTGAAAGCCAACGCCCGAAAGCCAAAAAGCGGCAGGTTCTTCGCCGCAGGCGCCTCAAATGCCTGGAAGGGATAGCCTGCAGGCGAAGTGGTGAAGCAGCAACAGGCTCGCATGGCCACGCGAGGAATGGGTCTGCCTCCATCAGGATCGAGATTTGGAGGTGCGGAACCCGGCCTGCAGACATGTCGCACATGATCGCGCATGCGCAGAGTCACGGAGCAACCGAATGGGCAACGATCCGACCTGCCCGGCGGCTCGAGGGGTGCCAGCGGACCTTCGAGCGCAAGCCGTGACCTACGAGCTCTGACCTCAGACTTCCTTTACAGACTTTGGTATCACTACATGTGCACATCCAAATAAAGCCGACCGTGCTTGCCACATTGGCACGGCTTGACTTGCCCCTGTGCTCCCCCTTGAAACATGAGCGGATCGTGGGATAGTATCAAAGTGAATTGCCCCGAGAGGTGATGGACTTTTCCTGTTTTCCTTCTGGCCGTCATGGAGGTTATTCCGACGGAACAAACGGATCGACTTGGAAAGAGTGGGATGGTGAACCTGCTAGAAGTACCGTGACTGTTGATATGCTCTATCGTGGCATCTTTCCCATAGAACTCAGTAAATCGGGATATGAAGTCAGCTGGACTTCACTGCTGAAAGCAGACTTGTTGGGCGTGCAACTCATTCTTCCTCAAGCAAGCGGATCTTTCCGAGCGGAGATACATAGTCTGGCCTCACAACGTGTGGAAACACTCAAAACGGCATCCGGCACGGAATGCAAGGATGGGTCGGTGATGGGGTCCGAGTAATGAGTAAAGGTCTCAACATTGGACACTCTTCCAGACAAAGCGATTTCGAGTCTCGTGCAACGCATCCTCCCAGTGGAGGGATGTCACTCACTCTCATCTCAATAGACAAGCCCCAACGAAGCCACCACACAAAGGACCAAAATGGGAGACTCAATTTAGCTGGATAGCAGGCTTAGCCCGCAAAGACTGGAACACCAGAGCATTGCATCCCGAAATTTTGCAAACACGCGGAGGATTTGTGCATCTCTCTTGGAGTTTCACTGCTTCGAAAACACGAGACTGTGGCCGCGCCACTCTCAAACTGTTGCGTCAGGATGGTGTATGTCCCGAAAGGGAACGGTCGCTCCTGCGGACGTTCTGCTCGGGCGTGTGCTGGAAATGTGGCAGAGCCTAGAATACGACCGTGAGAGGGAAGGCTTACGAACAACACACCGTCCAACGCCCGTTTCTGAGATGCCCCTGCTGCCAACGGAAAATGACATTAACCTGCGGGGAGTTGGGAAGTAAGCATCGCGATTGTGGCCTCTCGGGCGATAGAGGCCAAACTCGGACTGCCGACAGTCGTCTACTCATCGCCATTATGATCATCATCATCATAACTTCACAGGAAGAGTGGTATCAGCAAGAGTAGAATAATCCTAGCCCCAGTATCACGGTTGCGCACACTGGAGGTCATTCTTGAATCATCCCTCTCCCAATCGCGCCTAGCAGGTCCGGGATACCCAGCTCCTCCAGGCTGCCGGGAAGCTCGCGCGCCTCCGGGTCCGCAAAGGAAAACTGATGACATTCAAGTTCGCCTATACACTGTGCAGTGTATACTGTTTGCAACTGCTATGTAGACCCCATGTCACGACCAACTGGTAAAAAAGCACGCCAAAATCAACTTAACTTAGCAAATGCAGTTTGATAGTTGCAGCGTGATCCCGAGCCAGCCTCTCTCTTTCCTGGCCACGGAAAACCGGGCTCATTTCGATCCGGTCTCTCGTCCATGCTCTCACCGGGTCATGGCGATGATGAGCTTGCTCAGCCGGCCAAGACGCTTGAAAGTGCATGCGACAATGCGCCGTGAGTCACAGGCTGAGTAGAAGCTAGCCCTAGCGCATTCGCTAGATGGGTCGGCACTCCAAGCCATCTTGCAATCTCACGCATACGCATGGCTCCGATTCTTGTCTGGGCATCTTGTGTTTCAGTACTCTGGCAAAGGCTGCAGCACATGAAGGCATTCAAAGGTGTCACCCGGCCGTGGCTTGGTGCCTGTTGCTTGAACATTTGCACATCGAAGGATGCAGGCAACACAGCTTTTTTTGCTATCGGAAGCATGTAAATCGTAGGTTCTACGTCGATGTTGTTAGCCCAAGTCCGGCACGCACCTTCACCTTCACCTCCTTAGTGATCACGTCCTGAGGCAAGCCAAGACCGACGTCCCACAGAGGACTGGATGTAGCTGCAACTCCCGGCCTTCTAACTACAACTTCTCCCAGAGCACCTTTGCCAGAGCAGGGCTCTGCTATCGCTCCATCGGCTTTCGTCTGGGATGGAAAAGGTTTCGGGTCACGAAACGCGCCGCGGCCTTCATCTTGCTGCTGCCGGAGGCATCGATGCTGCGCTGGAACGTGATCTTCAGCTTCTCGCCGGCAGTGGCGCTGACTAACCTCGTAAGAACGGGAGGCCATCGCTCAAGGTCTTCGGCAAGCGACGCAATGTTCAGTATCATTCAGTCGTGCACCAGTGTCGATCTTTCCGATCGCTTGGCCCTTCGATCTCAACCTCATCCCGCCAGCTTTCACCCTGCACTGCCGCTCTTAAGATGATCACCCTGAGTTTGCCAAGCACCCGACGGTTGGACCAGCATTTGGTGACACTGGGAAAATCTCAGCAACGATTCGAATAAGTCCGCTGACAATGCCCACTAAACACCAAGGGAGCTCTTGCGCTGGTGCATGGAAGGGAACCATGTCTCAGTCTGAGACAGCTTGGTGCCAGTCACCATTTCTTGTGATCTGGAACCGATTGGGGCCAGAGGACAGGGACACCTCACACACAATGGCTGCAGTCTCTCGCAATGGCAAGTCTATGAAATCTGTGCCCGTACCTCGCACGTGTAGGTTCCATCGCTCACGGCCGTCATCTCTTCGAAACGATAGTTCTGGCACGAGCAGTAAATCTCCGGCAATGGCATCAGACAGGACGTTCCCAAGCTTCCCACATTCCAGCTCCCTGCGACGTAGTACTTGGCCTGCAGAGATCCCCCCAACCCCGACCCCGGGTCGCTTTAGGGCTCTTTTCAGGCTCGGCCCGACGGACCTCGGGTCCTTTGAGGGCGAGAAGGCCCTGCGGAGCCTTCGGCGTGGTGGCTTAGGCTTGGCCGTATTTTTGCCGTAGCAGCTCTTTCCGTATTGTCTTTCCGCTTCCGAGGCCTCTTTGGCTTTCGCCCATGTGACCGTTCTCCACTTGCCAGCAATATGCAAGCCTTCGCAATCCGTAGGTGAGGCATAGAAAGTATACATATGAAAAAAGCTCCTGGTGAACCCGAGGACCGAACGAATGCGGTACAGCTGACCTGGCAGGCCCTCGTCCTGCAGAGAGAGGGGGGAAAAATGAACGAGAGGGGAGGGGAAAGCTTTCGGCTTCTCGGCCTCGTTGGTGAAGGTCAAAGGCTCTGGAGTCGCCACCGCCGTCGCACCTGCACACGGCAGCTATGCAAAGGACACGGGGGCGCCGGTCGCCGTGCCTGCTGAAGCCGTGATGGCACGGATCTGGGTGTTGTTGGGCCGTCCATCCACGAACCAAGTGCTGTCCTACGAGCATTCAACAAGTATTGCTGTTTCTGCATGTTGTCTTGCCGTGCCTGCATGACCTCCTCCTGACGGGTTGGCCCGAACACCTCGGTTCCCTTGGGCGCCTTCCAGCAACATGGGTATGCTTGAAAGGGCGGCATGAGCATGCTCCATGCCTTGTACCGCTGTGGATGTAACACCTCCAAACAAGTTGGGCTGCAGACAGCGCAAATTCATAAATCAACAAAGACCCTGCAGAACCTTGGAATAGCTATTGTCAATGAGCAGCTGGAATTGCTCCTGCAGTATCAGGAGCATCGCAAAAGCTAGGGGTTTTCGCAGCAGACCCTGGACGCACTTGTCGGGGCCCCAGCCCATCTCGTATCACCGAGGACAAGCGTGTAGCCATAGCCTTACCCAGAGCCATGGGCCCCATGGGTAGGAAATCATCATTACTTGAAAGGCCTACGTTCTACAAGAAACAGGGAAGTCTGGGACCGCGGCAGCCATCCCCTTCGTCCTGTTGCTACGAAGGCTGAACCCTGTCTCCTCTTCTTGCATCAGATATCGGGTGTTCTTGTTTGTGCCGGCTTGAAACTGGCCAGTTAGCAACGGCTTCAGGTATCGACCAGGACTTCCAACTGATCTGAAAACCGTAGAAACCACAGCCGTCTCTCTCCATCTTTGGCTAAATCCTTCTTCTGAAGAGAGTCTTTCTGAACACTCCAGTCTGCTCGTAGCGGCTTGGCCTCCATCGGTTCCGGCTCGGTCCAGCCACTCCATGAGCCAATGATGAAGAATCCCCTGGTGTGGGTTTGCATGAGTTTCGGACTGGGCTGGGTGGTAAGTAAGCATCATAAGGACGGATGGGACGGATTTCGTCTGAGCTTCTTGGGCAAGGGTACAAAAGATGCTCAGAATCAGTCCTTCGTTTAGGGGCGCTGCCTGGGGCGCTTCTCCAAGGTTTTGATCCTTTCTCGGATCCGTAGTATCAGAGCGACGCGTAGTTGCTGGCCCGACTTCGCAATACCGTGTGTCAGCGCCGCAGTGGTAGTACTACCTAGTGGCAGTAGTCTACTACTACTGCTACGACTACTAAACCACCATTTTTTCATTCCAATCGCAGCCGGCCACTACTACTACTACTACTACTACTACTAAGTAGTAGTACTACTGCTACTACTTCCACTACTACTACTACTACTACTACTACTACTACTACTACTTCTTCTTCTGCTACTACTACTACTGCTACTACCACTACTACTACAACCACCACCACCGCCACCACTACTACTACACCTGCTAGTACTAGTACTAATACTAGCAGTTAGTGGAAGTAGTAGTAATAGTGGTGGTAGTAGTAGTAGCAATAGTAGCAGTAGTAGTAGTAGTAGTAGTAGCAGTAGGAGTAGTAGTAGTAGTAGTAGTAGTAGTAGTAGTAGTAGTTTTAGTAGTAGTTTTAGTAGTAGTAGTAGTAGTAGTAGTAGTAGTAGTAGCAGTAGTAGTAGTAGTAGTAGTAGTAGTAGTAGTGGTAGTAGTAGTAGTAGTAGTGGTAGTGGTAGAAGTAGCAGTGGACGTAGACGTATAAGTAGGAGTAGCAGTATGGGTAGAGTAGGAGACGGAGAAGGAGAAGCAGCAGTAAACGTAGACGTCGACGTAGGCGTAGAGGTAGCGGTAGAGGTAGAAGTAGACATAGACGTAGAAGTAGAAGTAGAAGTAGTAGAAGCAAAAGGAGAAGTAGAAGGAGAAGTAGAAGTCCAAGTACAAGTAGAAGCAGTAGTGGTAGTAGTAGAAGTAGTAGATCTAGAAGAAGTAGTAGTAGTAGTAGTAGTAGTAGTAAGTAGTTGATTACTAGTAGTTATTGGCTGGAATCTATTTTCTAGTAGTTTAGGCTCACTGAAACCCTGCGTTAAGCGACTATTGTGGGTTACTGTGTTTCAGTTCTTTTTGACCTCCCTGACATCTGATTTCCCGATAAACACCGATCAACTGCTACTATGTATCCATAGACTGCTAGCATTTTGTTCCCGGTTCTTCAAGAAGCGGTGCGCTGCTGGAGACACGATTGGTTGTTAACTGTTGTTGGTTATTGATTGTGCAAGTGTTCAACAAGTGCTGGTCGTTCACCAAGTCCTCACTATTTGCTCACTACGTTCCAATGATGTCTTAATTCTGCTCGAACCATCACCCTGACGTAAAGATAACCCGCCTTTCATCATCGAACTAGTGACTACTTGCAGTTGCATGACTATGGGAGCCTCAATCTCGGACTGAGTTCGACAAACTGAAGTTCATAACTTCTCTACCCACTGTTACCCACTTCTTGTTGGGTTGATAGTTGAAAGAAATCAAAGACTCGATCAGTCGAGCACCGATGCATAATCAAATGCCAACAAAAGTTGTTAGGCATAGAACCAACAATTACTTACCCATGCATTACTTAATTGTTTCGTGTACAACATGGTCATGCTTAAGTATCTTAAGTATGTGTTGGGCTTGAACCACCCCTTCGACCCTTCTAAAACCGGTCTTCGTGAACCTTGGCCACGCTTTACGTGCTGACATGACGTTCGGACTGGCCAGCGACTACGTTTGAACTGCATGCTGAAATCTTCCACTACTCATTACCTCTCAAGTAATGATATGATTTTTCTAGATCAGCTTGCAATTCATGTTGTGACTGACTTTCAATTGCCACAGAATGGGTTTGAGCCGTTCTAGACTCGTTGCCAACTACCTTAGACTTCGTGCTGACATACTGTTGAATACGACTTCCGGTGTGTCGACCAATGCATCGTAAGGCTGACTTCAGTTAGGTACAGCCGGTAGCTCACTTTGAGCTGGTAGCTCACTTAGGACTCACGCCAGTCTTATATCAGCCGTCGCTAAGCACGACCTCAACACCATCATGACCGCCACAACTACCATTGACGCTTTTGCCGCTGTGTAGTGACCGATGCTCTGCTCTGACACTTGCGGCTGTTCATGCTGTAATGGCTACCATCGTTTTAAGAATAAATGCCACCATCCTTGCCCTATGTTGACCTGGTCAATTCGAAGACTTTCGATGCCATGCGATGAGCTCTCTCCAGGTGACAGAAAGGAGCCTCCATTCTTGACGTTCGGGACGATGGACGTACTAAGGCAAGTCAAGGCACCTCCGCGGCCGGCTCATGCTTCCCAGGTCGCCACCGCCACTCGGCCAGTAAGACAGCCTCGCATCTTTCGGCAAAGGGCGTGTTTGTCATATTCAAGATGATAACAGTCATGGTGGTGATGAAGCTTGTCATGACTCTCGCTATGGCTCGGTTGACAAACACTGCTTCTCCAAATGTGCCACTCTTAAAGCATCACCGTACTGCGTCTGCTGCAGCCTCCGAATTCTCTTGTCTCTGTCAGAATGGCGTGTGCTGCCGATGATTCCTGCTATTGGTACAAGCATCGGCCGCCACATTGGACATGTTTCAGGTGTTTGTTGGACTTTGTTGGTCGAGATCAATGCAGCAAACTTGCCAGACGCCAGCCCCCCCCCCCCCCCCCCCCGCCACGTTTGAGAATTGTGTGCGTTGCTAGGAAGATTCTGCGGCTCAAGTTCGAAGTGACAAAAGCCTGTGAGGCATGGGAGCCCTCATGGAGAAAACACCGGCAAGGCTCATGCCTTGGTCTCAGCTCCTGTGGGGTTGGCTCTGGCGGAAGGCGGATCTCCTGGCGACAGCTCGAGTGCGAGACTGGAACTTCCCAACCAAGCAGAACCCGCCAAGATCCCATGCCTCGTCCACGCCTCCGTAGCAGTGCAAGTGGACCTTGGCAGGTCTGCGCTTCCAGACTTGAAGCAACAGGGGGGAGGGGAGCGCGGTGGGGCGGTCTTGCTGGGTCTCGGACGTTGGTTCCTCCGAAACCCCAGGAGGAGACGCCCACGAAGACGGCGCTGAGCTTCTGCTCCGTGGGCTCGGTGCACATCAGGAGCCTTCAGGCGCTACCGCTGCTACACATGACTACGAAAAGAGGCTACGACAGGTCTCAAAACCGGCGAAGCGTTCACGAGCCGGCAGCACGGGCAGCTTGAAATGTCCAGGTGTGGGTTCAGCTGGTTCAGGTGGTTGTTCCCGCACACAATGCCCCACCTGGCAATACAGCTGCACCAGTTCACGAATGAGGCTTGGAGCTGTCGCGCCTGATGCTGTGGAACGTCTTGATCAAGCTTGCGATGCCAGAAGTCTCAATGCAGTTGCCGATATTGGTCTTCATGCTGCACAGCTGCAACCTGGTTGGGCAACACCGCCCCTCAATAACAGTTGCATGACGAACCGTGCAAGAGCATCGATGGTCATCCCCTACAGCAGACTTTTACAAAAATGCTGCAGCAGCCCTATGATCAAAAAGGCCGCCGAACTGCCGGCCGTGTAAAGTGTTCCGGACACGTATTTCCTCTGTACAATTCTTAACAATATCCAGAAGCTGCTCCCTAAAGGAGGCCCAGCCAAGACTGTGACGGCTTCAGCTACTTCAAAATGCTTCTACAGCTGCATTGAATTTTTGCTCGGCGAGCGATCCAAATTGTTGAAGCTCGTCCGGAAGGTCTTGAACGGGAGATCCTCCTGTCGGAGCTCTTCAAGCTCGGCTTCGTATTGCTCGAAGTATGCGGCGCTGGACTTGGGTGTGGAGCTCGATCCCGGGCTTTCATCCGCATTGTCGAAGCTTTGGCTGCGCGCCAAGCCGTTTCCGACAGGACCGTCGCTTCCGACCAAGAGCCGTTCCCTCCTGAGCAGCTCCGGGCGGAACTCCTCGGGACGGCGCGTCCGAGCAAAGGCATCCTGAGCGAAAGACAGTGACGGCAATGAAACGTCAAGAAACGATTATGCAGTATGCAGACGTAACTGTGCAGTTGCCGACAAGAGTCTCGCCATCGTCCAAGTGACTCACTCAACTGCTTGTGCCAAGCAGTACTTATGTCATCCAGTGGCACCATGTCTACATGAACCGGAGCAGGATGCGCCGGCGTCGGGAGATGCAGGCCACGTGAGGAGTCATGCATGTATCGGTGGAATGGTTGGACAGTATCCTCGATTTTAGCCAAGCCGGGCAGAGCCCTGAATAGCAGATCCACGAAGCGACCGAGGACCAAGGCCTGCGTTCTTAAGGACAGTTTGGATATGAACATCGGAAGGCTGTTGGAGTTGTCCTCCAACAAACGATCAATGAGGAGACGTCGAAGTTGCAACATGAAGGGCCGGCCGCAGTATTGCATCAGAAGGCTCTCTTGCATTTGCAGGTCGCCAGAAAGAACAGCCGGCAGGACTGGAAGGTCTTCACGATTCTTGCGAGCATCGACGAAAACGAAGTATGCATCTTTCAGCGTTTCATGTAGTGTGTCGCTGAAGGTTTTCATGAGAAACTCAGCGATGTTCTCGAAGAGGAAGGGAACCAGCGGGAGGTCGGGGATGTGCGACTTCAGGTCCTGAATCAACGCGTGTCGCATCTCGCTGTCGAAGAAAACATCCATGGCCCCCTCGATGAACACCTCCACCACCACGGACTGGGTAGATTCCTCGTCCCGACAGAGCTCCTTGGTGTAGGAACGGATCGTCCGGCCAGGTTGCAAAGACCCCACAATGACCCAGACGACAGCACGGATCGTCCTCATCTTGTCCTGCTCGTCCATGTACGGGAAAGTGCACTCCCGCTGGCACTGCTGCACCAAGTTCGCCGTCAAGAGGGCCACGGACTTCTCGCCGAGCAGCCCTCGGCTCTGCATGGCTCTCTAAGCATTCATGAAACAACCACCTCCCAGAGCAGCCCCGCCTCTTGGCGTGTGGAGCATGTCGTAATGCGGCGGTGCCAAACCTTTGCAGATCACTTCCAGGCAAGCAGACACCGAGAGCTCGAAGAGCTCCTGCTCTTGGTCTTCGTCCCAGCCGTCCATGTCCACAAGCTTGTTGATCAAGGTTGCGATTCGCACAAGCTCTCCTTGACACAAGCAATGCGCGATTCTGAGTCAAGCTATACAAGCGAAGATGCCGAACAAGCATCAGCTTTCTTAAGTTGAAGGGCAGACACGATGGCATGGAATGAGTGCCCCATAATCGTTGCTAGCACCCTGACAAGTAGCAGTGGCAATATCTAATTTGTGCATCAATTCATTTCTCCTGCTTCACCGTGACTTTGATGAGGGGGGGGGGGGGGCGGGGTTGCTCATCGATTCACGATTCACCTGATCCTGACAATGGCAGTAATGACATGAAGCCATAGATGAAGCCATGACGGCAGCAACAAGGACCTTCAAAGTGTTTAGTTTCAAGACGGGCACACTGAAACTGTTTGATAGAGCCCGCAAATGAAATCGGCGACCAGGATAAAAAGAAGCCACCAAAAACTCCGGACAAGTGGGCTTATGTTGAGGAGAGAACTCCATGGGCAGCGGGGTTGGCATCGTACCTTCTTCTTCTGCTTGCAAATTTGATAAAGGGCGGCCCGTCGATAATCCTTCCTGTGCTTCCATGCGAGTTCGCGCAGGCAACTGTGTGGCTTGTCCTGTACTGAAACCTACTCTAGATAGGCTGCGCCCCCCCTTGAGGCAAAATGACTGACTCTTTCTCTCTCTCTCTCTCTCTCTCTCTCTCTCTCTTTCTTTCTTTCGCCAGGGTTATGGTATAAGGGTGTTTACCTTCATGTTTCCCTCCATGTGCATGTTGGGTTGGATGGATGAGCCGAAAGCCTGGAACCGTGACGGTGCCTCACAGGTTTGGCTTTCATACTTTCATGGCATTTTTTAGGTTCACCGACATCGCCCATCCGATCCAGGCGCAACCCGCTTGTCTTGAAGCAAAAATCCAAAAGCATGCCTTTCTACGAAGACAAAAGGACATGGCTGGAGGCTGCACACACATGCCACACGAGCAGCTGCACAGGCCCACCCCGCCCTTCAGTGCGCAGCAGACATGTTAAACAGCACGAGCCTAGCATCGTCCGCAAAGAAGCAGAAATCTGCTGCTAAAGCTTCCGGCGGGGGGCTGTCACCGGCACAAGCCCTGGACCTTCTGGATCGCTGTCCAGCCCAGCCCAGCTGCCTGAGAACAGTGCAAAATGCAGGAACTTTCCCCGACAGGAGCAAGCCGAGATGCTGCCGGGAGCTAGCTCGCGGCAAGCAAAAGCAGTGAGTCGGTTCGCGGCGACGCTGCTGGGCCTGCTCTCGTGTCCAAGATCTCTCTCTCTCGTTCTCTCCCCGTTTGCAAGGGTACGAGATGGTAAAAAGAACGGGAAAAACGCCCCACCACCCCCCCACTTCCCGGCATCGCATAATGTGTTACGGGGAAGCAGCTAGATAAAAGGTGACAACGGCAGATTCCTCTCTCTCTCTGTGTCTCTTTTCTTTGTTTCGCCAAGGTTAGGGGCAAGAGGATTGCTCCCCTTACTCTGTCTCTCTCTCTTTCTTTCGCCAGGGCTATGGTGTAGGGGTTACCCCCTACACCGCGCGCGTAAGCGCCCCCGACTGTTGCGGAGGAGAATGAAGGCAAAGTGCAAACCACGGCACTCGAGAGTCCCAAAAAGGACAAAGAGCTGCCCTCAGGAACTGAAATCCGGTTGGGGCACAAAAAGTGGCATAGGAACACCCTAGAAGGGGGCCCGCAGTGATGAATGTCCATTACCAGATTTCTAGTTTGCTGGCTTGGGGGCATTCCCCGATTATGGCTCGCACGGCAAAAGGCATGGTGCCGACCAACAGTACAAATGTTGAAGTACGGAACAAACTCTGCAAGCAACCTGTGTTGAGGGACGTCTCCCTTCAGGAAAGTTCTCGGAGTTTTTCCCCGTTGCGACAAGCATTAGGCTTGTCATGGGTGGCGGCAAAACTGAAAAGTGGCTGGCCGAATTAAGTGTAAACAGACGGCTCTGTACGTTGGGCGGAAAAGATGCCTCAGAGCGGAGGCTTGGAAAGTAGGTGCATGGATGGCTCCAGCGGCCCGTCTATGGTACACCCTAGAAAAAAGGCTTGTGGGGTTTCCCGTGTACAAAACTGGCTACAACCTTAAGCAAAAAGTCGTTGTTGAGGAGTGTGGAGAGAAATATGCAAGCCAGCTCACTAGCCCTGAAAAGCAAACAAGTTTTCTTGCAGCTTGGTGGCTGTGGGGTTTCCCCCGGGGCAAAATGTCTGAAACAAAAGGGCCTCGCTCACTTAACTTCTCAGTTCAGTTGAGGTAGTCCTCGACTTCAAGGGCGTTTCCCCTTTCGGTTGTCGTCTTTTGTCCACATGCTTTCCAGTCGGTGGGAGTTCCCCCTTTTCCCCATTGTGGGCAAGGATCTCGTTCTTGGTGTCGAGGAGAAAGTATCACGTTGCACACCCTGGTCAAAGTTTACGACCCGTTGAGCAGCAAGGGAATCGCACCCTGGTGGTTCGAAAGAACGAGGTTAAGCTCCCCGCTGCGGCCACCCTCCGGGAGTGAGGACACCGAAGTCGTCGAGGGCAGCTCCGATGAGGAAGTCGCGTAGAGCAGCAAACTTGCCGTACTGGTGGATGGCTGCACTTGGAGGCACTGCGAAGAGGGGCCACTTGATGAGAAATGTGGCGGGCGTATGACTCAAGCACCGCTGGAGGAAAGTGAACAGGCTCCCCTGGGGGTACACCCCAAGTCAACCAGTCACCTCCCTCCCCGATGCACGGGGGGCGTCACAGGCCTCCCCGAGCAAAGGTGCAGCACTTGAGCCAAAATCTCTCTCTCTCTCTCTCTACAGGGTGTGAGGTGGGCCGCAGCGTTCAGGCTACCCTCCTCGTGGGCGTTCGCACACTCACGGTTCCTTGGCGGGATTGGTTCCCCCTTCAGTTTCGCGGAAGGAGGCTCGGCTATACGAGGAAAAGGAGAAGGCTCGCATGCGTTTCCCCGCAGACTCCAGATCAACAAGCAGGTGTGTGTGTGTGTGTGTGTGCAGCTTAAACAACGCCTTCTCCGTGAGCAGGAGGAAAAACGTGCATTCCCCCAAGGCTTCGCGCAGGCTCAGACATACGTTAGTTCAGCAAGTTCGGATTGGAGTGAATTGTAGCCTCCTGTCCCGCGAATTCACAGTCCAGGAGCTTCGAAGAGATGCAGTGCTGAACGCAGGAAGTGAAGTGATGTATTTCCGAAGCGTCTTTTCAAAGAGTTGTCTCAAGTATAGAAGATCAAATGGGTTCGTAGTTACACAATCCGAAGGAAGCTTTCGAGAAACATTTGGCATTCATAAAACCCTTGGATGTAAAACTTTTCGTCGCACACAGAGCCATGTCCGAGTCCGAGCTGCCTGCAGAGATTCTGAAGCTAAAACAACCAGTGCAAAAGCTTTTTCAGCTTTTGGAAGCTGGGCTTGATGAGTGCCTGGTTTGCAATCAATTTGTGTGTGTGCTTATACGTATACAGCACGTCAATTCTCTCTGGCAGTGTGGGGTCAGTCCAGGTCTGAGATCAAGGGCAAGAGTGCCTTCTGCTGTGGCGGGAGATTGGATCGTGCATCCAATGCTTGGGTCAAGAAGGCTTATCTGGATTCGAAGTTGGATAGGGTTCCTCACGAAAATGTCGTGAAGAAAGTGTTGACAGCTTTGGTGGACCGCCACTCCTTATGAGCTTCAGTTGCATTAATCATACGGTTGATGATATAAATCCTGCATGACCTTAAGGACCCTAAACTATAGGAATTATGGTATATTCCTTCTTATGGGTAATGCAGGATTTATATCATCAACCGTATATCGGCCTATAGGCAGCCTGTTAAACTTCAAAAGAATAAACTTCCATGCAAGGCGATGAGCGAGTGAACAAAGCACGATGGATCAGCGATGAGGTGGGTAGCATTAATAAGAGTCGGTTCTTGCAAAGTTTGCTGAGAGGGCAGATTCGGCATAGACTCCATTTCTTTCAAGGCTGAGAAAGTTCGCTCTATCTTCAAGAAAGCAGCCGCCAACAATCGAAATGATCGCTGGAAAAAACGCAAGGTATCATTCCGAGCTCGATTGTGTGACTGGAGACCCTATACCTGTACTCTAAAGCTATTCCGATATCGCCAATATGAGGCTGGCGAGCTCCAGACTCAGCCGGACGAGGAGACCCAGGTGGGGGTGGATGGATAGGTAGCAACTGTGATATTCCGATATCGCCAATATGAGGCTGACGAGCACCAGACCCAACCGGCCGAGAAGACCCAGGTGGAGGTGGATGGATAGATAGTAAGTGGGAGTTCGGGGGCATTAGCAAGATTGTGAGAATTGGAATTCAGTGTCTCCTGTTATGAGGCGAATGCTCCGGATGCTGAGCCCAAGATTGATTCGGATGAAGACCTCAAGAGTGGTAGCTTGGACTTGGCTGAGCCATCAGCTGATGAGGCGAGTGATGGATCGGAAATCGTCAATGATGATGATGCTTTCCGGGCTGCTTTTGCGACTTTCAAGCCGCAGGCCAAAGCGAATATCCTTAAATCCATCAAGGACCACAGGAAGGTGAGTTTGGGTGTGACTTAGTCGAAGATGTGCTTTCGTGGAACGGTTGGTTGGACCGGAAGAATAATGCTTCCGGGTTTCTTGCGAGGGATAAGAGTTGTTTTGGACTGATTGCCTTGCAGTGCTCAGGTCGCTTCGGCCGGGGCTGGTGCAAGTGAAGCAGCTGTGGAGCGACATGAACCAGGGTCGCCGCCCGCCGAGGAGTCCGATGACAATCACAGCGTTGATAAAGCAGCAGCCGTGGAAGACGATGTGGCAAGTGATTCCTCTGGTGAGCTTGCAAAGCTGGCTCATGCCGCCAGGGCTTTGGCTGAGGGGTCTGATTCTGATTCCGAGTCCGATCCTGCATCTCCGGGTCCATCTAAGCCATTGAAGAGATCTGCTGATGATAATGAACATGCAAAGGCCAAGGCCTATGTTCAAAATCTCGCAAGAGTACCGTTTGTAAAATTTGTTGGTTTTTGTGTGACAGGCCAACAATGATGTGATTCCTTCGCAGTTCGAAGTTTCGGGGGCACCAGCTCTGGATATATCACGTGTGCAGCAAGCTGCTTTGGATAGTGCAAAGAAACCGGTTCTGACTCCGCAGCAGCAGCTGGACATGTTGAGGGCTTCACGAACGAAGAAAAAACCAGGGAGAAAATCGGGCGAGACCCTTTGCTGATCAAGCATCCTCACTTAAGTTTAAATTGTTTGGTTCTCCACTGCTTGCTTGCTCTCGTCAGACGTGTATCTCTCTCTCTCTCTCTCTCTCTCTCTCTGTCTCTCTTTCTCTCTCGCTCTCTCTCTCGCCCTGTGTGGTAATAGATGCCGTAAATATCATATAGTCATGTAATCTCAGGAAAGACGAGCCCAAGGAAGAGCAGCTCGCGATTTTCGATTCTGGCTGGATGAGGGAAACGAAGATTCGCCCTACAGGCAACAGCGTCATTAATATAGTTACAGTGTTGCATGCAGTTTGAGAACACTGATGCCCGAAATCGTTCATCTGAGGTAAATCCAAGGGGCAACGCTACAATGTTTTTTGGGCGCCGACGGGGGTTCAGCAAACCATTTTGGGCAATGCGGTCAAGGAAGGGTTCACAGATCACGATCAGCAGCCGATTCGGATTTTGAAGGGCGAGGAGGCACAGAAGGTAAAGGATGCTGCGAAAGCCAAGATGTTCAAGGAGAGGGCTGTGTCTAGTCATATATTATGTCTAATCCAGGTTCCAAATTCCGAATTCTATATCGATTGTAATTCGAATCATAATTAATAGTCATAACAGGTAAACTATCCCCAGATCCCAGGTGAAGATCCAGGAGGCCCGAGCCAAGACCAGGGCCAGCAAGGCCGAGACCAAGGCCACCGAGACCGAGGCCGACGTGTCTAAGACTAAGAAGAATGAGCCCGATGAGGAGGAGGATGATGATGAGGAGGAGGACGAGTCTTGTTCAAGTTCTTATCAGAAATCATGGTGCACCGATCTTGCTATGGATTAAGATATGGAGTCCTTTTCGTCTCTCTGTAGGACAATGGCGAGGCTGCCGAAGCATCCGCTGACGCTGAGTCCGGTTCAGAAAGCTCCGACTCCGAATCCTCAGAGTCGTGATCATGATCGAATGTTTGCAGTTCGAGTTTTGTGCAGAGTTAGCTGTGCATCTTACGATGTGTAGCCAGGGGTGCTGGCTTTTGCTTGCGACTTCGGTGTGCGACTGGGGCATAAAGTTTGTGTTGCCGCATTTCAGGATTGCTGCACCCTTTTCAATGTTGGTTGCAACGCCCTGCTCACACATTGCTAAAAGCTTGCACACATTCAGACACGGCCTTCTTTGGCTTCACTGTTGAGCTAGCTTACCTGGTGCTGGCCGAGCTGGCTCGCATGCAGCCCGGATGCAGCGAGCTGTTCTTGCTTACACAGGTGCTAGTGACTGCTAGTGCTACATGCAAATTGCAACTCGATTCCCGCATCGCCGCTGTAGGTCATTGACGATGCAATGGGTTTCTTTCTGTGGCTTCATATGATACGTTCAAGAGGGAAGCTCTTCGGCATTACGCATACAATTGGTGTAGATTCTGTAGCGGGTGCGATGCATCTAAGGTGTGCGAGGCTCAAAGCAGCATCAAGTACGACGACTTTTCTCTTTGGCTGGTCAAGATGACAAGTTTGGTGGTTGCAACTTCGTGCTCAATGGTTCTCACCTTATACACACACATGCAATCTGTCCACCACCGTTTGCACTGGGATCCGGAGTATTCGAGGTATCACAGCTACGTCTTCACTCGATCCTGCTGCTGCTGAATCTACAGATGGATAGGTAGGGACCTTACACGTCGGGTTGTATATCATAAGTAACCTTGAACCCCGTTCCTTATCCCCAAAAGCCGAGACCTAACGCCACGATTCCAAACGGCAGACACCCTAACCCCCAAACCCCCAAACGCTAAACCTCGAGCCTTGTTCATAATAAGGAAGCTAGGATCAACTTGCCGGCTACAGGACCGATCACGTGCTCCTGCTGGATTCGCACGACAGCTGTGCCGCTTGTCTTTCAAAAACAAGGACGTGTCTATAGCTGGATGGTGTTAGGACAAGACTTCGGGGTTACGGGCAGCTGTCTATCACGTGATGAGGTTTTTATTGCTGATCACAGGGGACTTTGGGAGGTGGTTGCTTGCTAGCAGCTGTCAATTGCTAAGACAGCATTGGCCAGAGGTGATCGACTTGGATAGTCCAGGTCGATCACGTCCGACCAATGCAACTGACATACTCAATCAGCGGCTGTCCTCCTTGCATCGTTGTCGTCCAGATATTTTAACTACAGCTTTAGAATTTGGGGGCGAAGTCTACATACGCCGTATCTAAGGTGGGATTGTTGCAGATGGATCCTTCCCTCGTTGTGGACCAGCAGCTGGGCTTTCGAATATCTTGGGATGTTCATCCCAGCGAATATTACATTTTGGATGTTCTCCTATGAATATTAAGGGCCTGAACCTTAAACAACCCTAAAACCTCGAGTTATTCAGATTGCCCGCTCAGAGGACGATTTCGGCTTCACCTGGGCTTCGGGGTCGGTTCAGGAATGCTTGGCTTGGTAATTAGATCTAGGGTTCTATGGCATCTAGGTACTTCGGTTCCTTAAGACAGGGGCTGAGTTGTTCGCTTCGAACTATTGAAAGCACTAAGGTCATCCCCCCATGTTGCCGGAGCCCGGGGCCCCGAAACCTAGAGCATATCTGACCAGTGGGAATCCCAGAAGTACGGTTCTTAGTTAGGGTTGTTGGAATTGGGATTTGAAATTAAAGCATTTGGATTACCTCTCATAAAGAGTGTCCTCTAGCATATATTGCCTTATCCTATATATATATATAACCAAACAATTACACATGGCCCGAACTGTGCTTGACACACTTTACAACCGCCCCAAAACCACGCAATAGCTGCAGCAACCCTGACGTGCTGGGCTTCGATGGGAGGATGGACTTCCAGGCTCAAGTTTTAGGTTGGTTGGTTAGACAGGTTTGATGCTTGGCCCATGACAGGTGAGCCCAGCCAACACCAACAAATAAAAGGGAGGAGGAGGAAAGGGGGGGAGGAGGAGGATGAGGAGGAGGAGGATTTGGGTTGAAGCCAAGCCCGCCAGGAGGGGGGAGGGTGGCTGATACGGGGGCGACGACCATGAATTCCCAACCCCAAACCAGGAAACGCCTCGTTTGGGTTGAAGCCAAGCCCGCTTGGGAGGGGAGGGGGGCGGCTGATGCTCATGATGCTCGGGCCCTTCCTTCCCGTAACGGGGCGACAAGCATGATTTTCCAAACCAAACGAAGGAACGCCCCCGTTTGGATTGAAAACAAGCCCCGTTGATGCCATACTTCTCCTGCTAAAGCTGTCGTAAGGCTTCTAGATCCAAACCCTGCTGTTGCAAGGTATTGCATTCGAGCACGCTCTGGATATGGCTTATAGAATCTCCGGCTGAGCATTGCGACTTTTTCTCAATTAGGTTAGGGTTTAGGGTTGAGGGGCTAAGCTTCGTTATGTGCCCGTTGGGGCTCGGAATAAGGTACATCCAAACCCAAAAGCCGAAGGTTAGGATACCCTCAACCGCCATTAAGTAGGCCAGCGAAGTAAGGTTGTCACTCGATTGTTTACATCAACGAATAGGATGGTTTTATGGTTCACAAACTTGATGCTGCTACTGTGGCCTGTGCTGCATATACTAAGAGCTTAGGGCCTAGAGGCATGGTGTTTCGGGGATTAGTTCGGGTCTAGAGCCCAGGGTATACTTAAAATATCTATTTTACATTGGATACATTGGAGGCCGCCGCACCAAACCCTACACCGTTAGAGCAGGTTTTCAAGGGCACTTATACTCGAACCTACTGATCAGTGGCTTACGGAGAGCACTTATATGGTCTATGCAGTCTGGTGTTGTCGGTGAACCGAAACTCACGCAATCCAAGTTCCCCTGTCAACCAAGCCCTTATCTTTGGTTTTCCAAGGGATCATTTTATATTAGAATATATACACATATATATATATATATATATATGTAACGTGATATAGTACATAATACGAGTATTCTAAGATTGTATTCTAACAATGATCCCATTGAAAACCAAAGATACCCATATAGATAAATGATGTTGACAATCTTCATACCCTAAAACCCTCCCAGATCTCGAAGCATAACGCCAGCCATCTGAGGTTCCGAGTCTCTGCTGGGGACCGACAGGTAGCCAGAGCCACCTGCCACAGGTGCAAAGTCTCACAAGTGCGACTTTCCATATGGATGGTGTGATTGGCCGGGCCGATCGATTGAGAGACCTAGCTAGATGCTGTTCACGGCTTCAGGATTGTCGGTGAAAGTCGCATTTCTTGTAGAGTCATACCGAGATTTACGTACGCATCTCCTGTGTGTGCCAAAACTGTGCACGTATTGTACTGCATGCATGCTGCAACTACGAAAACAGCGAGTCCGTGTCACCCCCGTGTCACCCCGTGTCACCCCCCCCCTTAAGATATGATGAAAGCATCTCTTCACGTGTCACGCCGTGTCGCATCTTTTCTACGGACCACAGCAGCATTTTGCTAGCTTGACTGGTGTGTTAGAGATTGGACCGAGGCCTGCAGTAGAAACATATTCCGTGTCGTTTGTGTGGTACGTGCACAAATACCTTAAACTGCCCCAGGCCTCCATCTCACACCACAGATGGCTTCATCCACGCTGCTCGTCCTGCATCAATCCAACTTTTAGCCGGGCCGGCTTTCAACTTAACCAAGGAAGGGGGCGGAAACCACGAGTGGATCTACAATGCCTCCGCCTGGTGGTGCGAAGAAAGTAGAGAAGCTAGTGAAGTTGGGCTTCGAGATGGGGGCTGTGCTTGAAGCTCTTTCCAAATGTGGTGACGATGCTAAGAAAGCTACTTTGTTCTTGGTTGACAAAGAAAAGCAGGCGAAGAAGATGAAGAAACAGCAAACCAAAACCACTGCCGAGAATGCCAAGCCCGCAGAAGCAGCAGCAACGCCAGCCCCAAAATCAAAGGCCGAAGCAGCACCAGCAGAAGCATCCCCACGCAGCCCCGAGGTTCCTGCAGCTTCGGGGAATAAGCCAGAACCCAAGGATCTGGAGATTCCCAAGGAATCCAAGGCTGCTCCCACGGAACAGAAGAATCCCCCAGCAAAGAAGGATGCCAAGGAAAAAAAGGGTTCCAAAAAGGAGAAGAAGGAAACGAAGAATGCCAAGGAAAAGAAGGGTTCCAAGGATAAGAAGGATAAGAAGGATAAGAAGGAAAAGGACGCCGGGCCTTCCCACGAACAGAATGAGAAAGCCAACACAGAGCAGCAACAGCCACCGGCTAAGAAACCCAGGACCGCAGAAGAGGCCCCACACACTCCGCCGCCCCGGCCCAGTGATGGCAGTCCCCTCGGCTGCGACAAGCAGCCCTCCGCAAAGGTCGAGCTCCGGACCCTAAATCCGCAATCCATGGCAAAATTTTTCGATTCCGAAACCTACGCAAAGCCCGAGCAGAAGCAGGAACCCCACAAGATCACCAGCATGGATCGGAGAGACACAGAGCTCAGCCTATCGACTTCACCAACTGAGCCTTTGGAGACCGAAAGCCCCACGCCGTCTGATACGACTACCAGCTCCCCGCCAGCAGCCAAGACAAGCCAGCCCCCGGCAGCTCCAGCCCACCGTGTCAACGGCAAGACCCGAGAGGCTTGGAGCAGGTAATGGGTTGACTGCTATGTCCTAAAACACGAAGCCTCCTACACCCTACATCGCTATGTATATATGCTGTGCACGCAGGCAAGACTGGCTACTTTGTCTGCCGAGCAGAAGACGGAATTGACAAACATGAATGGTCCCTCGGAGCCTGGGCTCACTTAATCTATATGCATAGCTGTTATAGCTATTGCTGTATTAAGAGCATTCGTTGAGGCGATGCCCCGAGCCGAACGAAAACGCCAATTCGCTGCTTTGGGTCGCAGGCTGAAGGCTGAGAAGGATCTCCACGCTGGCTTGGCTATGAAGTGGGGCAAAGCTGATGATAACGAAAAGCTGCTCAACTAGCTAGGTTCCACAGTCCTGACACGCAGATCATCGCAGATCTTCAGCATCTGCATGCACACCTGCACGAGCCAAGGTTTGGGATGCTGAAGGAGTGGTTGCTGAACGATGGCAAACTTGGGGCGATCACCGTCGAGGAGAAGTGCTCTGACTGTTTTCGGATAGTTCCCCAATTCCATAGAGTGCATACATGATCAGATCTAAGGTTCGTAAAGTTCGCCGAAACGATGGAGACGGACCTCTACGTCACCATGACGGTGTTCCAAATGGAGAAGGAATTTGGAGAGTCGGAGGAGGCGGCTGAGTTTATCAAAGAGATCTGTGCAGGTGCCGTGGTTGATATCATATCTACAAGCTACACGTCTTAGAATGCTGATCGGTTGGTTCACCTGCCCAGGACAGAAGGGAACACCGCACCCTCAAGCGCCTAAGTGTGCGAAAGCTCGGATGTACAAGGTGTTGAAAGCTTTGCTAGACGAAAGGCGACGGGGCTCGAGAGCGGAATCGTCGGCTACTCTTCAAGGAGAGGTGAATGACCCGGCTGCAAAGGCAGCCATTGCCAGCCGGTTGAAAGGCCAGCTGGATGATCTAGAGGGACAGGAGCTTGTGGACCGCGAGACCGGTAAGATCAAACTCCGTAAGCCCAAGAAAGAAACCAAGCACATGACCGACGATGAGAAGCTTGTTCACAACTTTAAGGGGCTCATCAAAAAGCAGCTCTGCTGAACATAATTCTAGGTGCTAGCTGTACATCGACCATGCCTTCCATGCCAAGCCCAGTAATGCAGTTAGTACTGAGGTTCAAAAGCTTTTCTGAGAAGATCACCACTTCGCTTCGTGATCTTACCGGAGTGAAGCACTGCACCGACCTGGTTGGGAACTTGTGTCAAACAAGATCATCGATCCGGTACTTTCTCTAATGATACATACCGCAGATGCTATGAGAGATAATAAGGTCAATCATCTGACAGACACGCAGAAGACGCTGACCAAGAAGACCAAGCAGCTGGAGAAGCACTACACGAAACTGACCCCTGATGAACTGAAGCCTCTGTACTTTACGTTTTCTGACGAAGCGAGAAGCATCGAGGATGACCTTAAAGAGGCGAACCGTAGGAAGCCCAAGAAAGCAAAGGTGGCCACTCCTAGCAAAGCTGGGGACGGGGTTACCTCTGTGTAGGCCGATGACTTGTCGCAAAATCTTTGACTGATCGCTTCAGTTCCAAGCAAGCACAAAAACCGTTGACCCGAGTTTGCTCAAACTACTCCACAAAGCACTTTGACCCTGCAGGCATCAGTCGAACCTAATTGAGGATCTGAATCTGTAGATACGGATCCCTTGATCTGTGCACATAGATCGATGGGCCCAATCGAAGATGGGCTGCTTTGCGGGGGACACGTCAAGGCCTAATCCTATCATCGTCATTGACCCTCGCTGCTGAGCTCGATCTACAGGACAAAAAATCGCCAGAGATCAGTGTGCAATCATTGCGGGAGGGATAGTTTCGTGCTGAGCCCGCCCACACAGTCTGCACGCAGGAAGCTTCTGATCGCTGTATGATCCGGATCAGACCCGATATCAGAACCCACGCCCATTTGCAATCACAAAATTTAATACACAAAGCCCCGTAATCCTACCCATGCACCCATCCTGCAGATCAGCAGTATTGTTTCGTGAGTATCAGGAGTAGCATAAGTTAGATAAACTAATCAACCGAACAGCTGAACCCAAGTCTCACAACGAAGAACACTAGGCTTAAGAAACATGTTCATACGCCTAGACTAGGACCACGAATGACCACGGATTATTACCCCATGCTGTTCTCTGTGGCACTTACAGCCTGTCGATGTGTACCAAGAAGGCACGCCTGATTCAGCATGCCATCGGTGACGCTTGTGTCGCAGCATACCTTGGACTGCAGGATGGCTCCCATGCCATTTATGGCTTGGTGGAGGAGTTTCTGGAACTGTCACGACGATTGTCGGTGCAGACGATCAGAGATTTGGTGGCTGCCGTGCACAAACGGATACCACCCATGTTTCTTGAGCGACGTATTTGCACATTATATTGTACTGCTTGACTCACGACTAGTGCACACGATCCATCCAACCAAGGCCTTCGTTCCGAGATTTGGCAGAATGCACCACTGGTTCTAACAACGTGCAGCGAAATTTCCGGTGCTGGCTTCGCCGACAGAAGTGGATGGCCTGCCTACCCGAACCAGTGACGATGCTCAGCTGCATTTTCCAATAGATGTCTACAACATGCTTCAGCTATATGTATGCTTGCTCAGGATAGAGGTCAATCAGGCTTCTCGGTTAATCTTTGTGACATAAGATTGGACATCGGCCGCTTCACGCCAGTGCCTAGGTTGACAAGAAGCAGGCAGAGGCTTTCTTCGTGGGCCCACATGCAATCTTTCTGATACCGGATTGGCCTTTCGACTGCATTGTACTTGTATGCTCGAAACTTCGAATGAATGTGGCTTAGGTTGAACTCCATCTACGAATATGATCTGGATATATTTCAATCGATCTTTTTGGGTAAGGACGCCGATTTGAATCTTCGCGAGTATTGGGCTCATAACTCGAAATCTGAATGGTTCAGGCAACACCCCATGCTTTCCAAAATGACACCTGCTGAACTACAGTTTGTTGTGCCTCTCGAGATCCACGGCGACGACGCAGAGCTGCACAAAAGAAGATCGTTTAGCATAAGTACCGTAAGCAGTGCACTCACCACAGGGTCCACGTGGGACCACAAGCTGTTGCTGAGCTGTTTCGACAACAGTTGTGCTGGTGAGTCGACGTCGACGGAAATCGATTGTTGGATCTGCTGGGGCTTGGTGTGTGCTTCTGCTGGCAGATATCTCGATCACGACTGGTATGGCCGCAGATTCAGCAGCTCCTACATGCCACAACTGGCAGCAAAAGCTGGCAAACCTATTGCCGGCGACTTTCGTTTTGTTTTCGCTGGCCACAAAGGGGACCAAGTTTATATCCATAAATGCTACAAGTTTGAGAATTACTGGACCTCCGAAGAAGTCTGCCGATCATGTGCGGCTACTCGACCTTTATTCGCACTGAGATATCTAGTACGCTACATCTTATGCTTTATTGGTTGGGTTCAGTTAAGGCTGTTAAAAACGGCCAGTCTCCCCTTGGCTATGTGCACTACGGCCCACAAGCTCAGCACCGGAACACGCCTCTCGACTACAATCGTTAATGCCGCATAAGGTCGATATGTATAGCCCAAGGTTGTACACGACCGAAGAGCTGATCAGATCCAAGACTGGGGCAACGCCATGGATTCAGATCCCTGGTTGAATTTGGGAGGACTACCTTCATATCGTTGATCTGGCTCTGGCTCCAGATGCCTGTGCCTCCGATTCTCATTTGAACATAAAAGCTAGAAAGGCTTTGCCTGTAATATTGTCAACATCGACACAAGGCTCTACTGGAACTTACCGTGACGATCACCAACAGCCCTTGGCCGGGATCGAGCCAAGAAGAACGGTTGGCAGTTGCATATGTGGAATTTTCCGCTGCTTGCAGAAGTGAACACATTCGTGCCATAACTGCAATGGGCAATGAGTGGTATATAGGCCGACGAAAACTCTGAAAGACTGAGGAAATCGTGCACCGCCCTTTTCATTGAAATCCTTGAAGGCATCCGCGAACAATAAGAACCCTGGTTATCCTTCATTATCCCAGAAGCATTTGAGTGGAGCTGCCCGGGGCTTATAAGAACAGCTACGACCATCAAAACCCAAATCACCCACCCCAAGTCTTAAGGAATCCGTCATCATGGTCAAGTGGCTCCGGTCTGTGACGCTGCGAAAGGCAAGCCATGATCCATCACCATATTGGCAGCAACTAAACTACTTTGATTGTTCAGGTCGTTGTGTCGTTGAGGCTACATGTCATTGGTTTCAGTGATTATGGCTATAGTCAAAGGAACGTGGCAGCTATCTTCGTCAACTTGGCGGGTATGCGAGATAGCATTTCGGGCTACAAATTCTTCGTGCCTCCAGAACGAGCACAGCAGATGCAACGCCATTATGTCCTGTATCGAGCTTCTTACAACCGCTCCCGAGCTGCAACCACTATATGCTGTTCCTGAAGGCTTCGCTGTTTTAAAGTAGACGATAACCGAGACTGTGCCATGGACGCCTATCAACGAAGCAAGATGTTATGGAAATTACGGCCGAAGATGCACACGTGTCTTGGCATCCCAAATTCAATCCCGCCCTTTTTCCACCAATGGAAAACATGCTTGAGGAAAACGTCCCAAGCATGCTTCATCCCTAAATCAAGCCGAGCTTAAGCCTAGGCTGGAGCACCTGGTTTACGAGCAAATCGTTGTGACATCCCCGCTCCGTACATGTACGTATGGCGATGAAGATTTAGCCCCTTCGCTGAACTGCTGAACTCTCCAACTCCCATCTCTCTGAACACATAACTCGGCACGCCCAGGTCGGCCGAATCAAGATGCTGGGGTGTCTTTGTCATCCTACGGGCCTGGGAAAGCAGGTTTTGTACAGGTATAGTGCTTACATAGGGGCTCGATGGCAACGAAAACTGCTGGAGAGAGACTGGTGATCGCCGGAAAAAGAAATGTGGCGATCGTCTTCTCTGGATTGGGCTTTTTTGTCGGTTGGAGAGATCGAAAGATCGCTTAAAGCCTACCACTGACAACTTATTTCGGATTACACTTGTCACGCTTGGGGGTCGCGATCTACATCTGTACGTGTCTAGACGAGATAGCAACATCAAATACGTCACTTATTTCAGCTGCAACACCGGGGCGTCGAAAGGATCGTCCTGGGTTGCGAAAAGGTGCCTTTGTCCAGCCCATTGGAGTGAGTTTTGCCCGAGAAAAACCCTGGTTGGCCCCTGCAAAAGTTCCCACGCGGACGCAGCATTGCCGGCAGTTTCAAAACACACTTTTTGGATGCAATGAACGGTCATGGATTTGCTGCGCTGGCTATCCCCCTAAACCAAGGAACCCACAGAAAACTTCATGTCAAGAAAGCTCTCAGCCGCACTCATCCGACTTATCTCCTGTCACATCAGAAAGGCTGGCACCCTGCGCGTCATTCAAATGCCGCGCGTGGCTGCCTCATTCTCCTCGACGGCGGGGCCAACTGGATATGGCTGTGGCTCATGTGCTCCAGCGGTGTCGCCCCCGTCAGTGTCCGTCTCCTCTGGTGTGCTGCCTTCCCCCCTGTTGCGCTTGCTGGCTTTCTTGGCTTTCTTCTGGGCTTTGCGCTTTCTTTTGGCGATGGCGTCCTTGTACATGTCTTCCCTGTTGGGTTTTGCAGAGGCTTCGCGCATGCCCCACCTTTGCTCTTTTTCCCCCTCCGGGGTTAATTGAGGAGGTTGCCATCGTCGAGGACGTGGTTTTGGTAGATCTGCTGGATCACCGTGAAGTCTGCCAGGAAATGGTATGCTCCGCCCTTCTACTGGCGGGCTCAAGAGAACTCAAGTATCGCTAGGAGAAAATGAACCGGCTCCCCAGAGGGCCGCAACCTCTGGTCAACTTTTGCGTCTCCCCGCTCGATGCAAGGAGGCGGCACAGGCCCCTAAGCAAACGGTGCAGTACTTGAGCCAAATTGGCTACTCTCTCTTCGCGCACGCACACCCGCGTTTCACGGGTGGTCCTTGGACCCTCTTCGGGGATATTCCTTGAAGAGGATCGGCTTTCCAAGACGAGCGAGGGCCCCCCGCTAGTTGGTGCTCTCCCCTCTGTCCTCCCAGACTGACACGGGCTACAACACAAACAACATGACTGTAAGGACATGTTTGCACACGGAACTCTGAGGGCCCGGCCAGGACGACATGCAGTGTGGCATGGTTTCACTCCGCCCCCCAGCTTGCAGCAACAACACAGTACAGTCTTGCTTGCTTGCTTGCCCAGCGTGTGGGTTCAAGGGCCAGGGACCCCAGAACCCTGCGCAATGCGCTACGCTGTGTGTCCAAGTCTGGTGTGGTGGTGAGACCTGGGATGGAGCAGTGGCGCTGGACCGGCTTGCCGGTGTGACATAGTAGCCCCTTCGATAACAGTGTGTCCCCCTAGGTTAGGTCCCACCTTGTCCAGCTTGTCTGCTCCGGCTCCCACTCGTTTGTTCTACTGGCCCGCCGTGCCTTCTCTTTGCGGCTTGCCACTCGCACTGGGACCCTGTGTAGTACGGTGCTACTCAGCCCAAACACGAAACAATGTAGGTACCGGAGGCTGGAGTTCAACTCATGGGTCCCCTGTTGCGGCAGTGTTCCTACTGTACCTTTCCTTACGGGTTTGTGGATGTGTGCTGCTTGGTGCGGTCAGGTCCCGTATGGGCGAAGCAAGGGAAAAGCCAGGGTACCAAAGCGCGATAGGGGGCAACACTCACGACACGTGGGCTCCAGACCGCTGTGTGGTTTGTGGGCTGTGGTTCCGGCGGGGGGGAAGCAGCAAGGGAGGGCCAAGGTCCACAGAACAGTTAGGGGTATAACACACTGGGGTCCCCGACGGTGTTGTGGTGGTGCTGGTGTTGGTTCTTTGTTGTAGCCCTCTACTAGCGCATGTGCCACGTTCGTTCTTGGAACCAGCTGGCCCTCTTAACCAGTAGAGTGTCCCCCGCTCCAGTTGAAGAGTTAGTCACTGTCGAACATGGCATGCATGCGTCTTCTGCGGTGTGTCCCGCTTAGCACTTGAACACCTCCTGTGTTCTTTTCAGCGGCTCTCGGGCTCTCACTACCCTCCCTCGTTGGTGTCCCTGGTCGTGTAGTCGGAGGGTTCGGCGAGTGGTGGCTGCGACACCGTCGGTTGAGTCCCCAAGCTTCATCTTCTGTTTCGGTCCCGGGGATCTCGTCCGTGGGCCAGCTTTCGAAACCCTCGGGCTATTCCTTGCGGACTGGCAGCTCAGCCGGCTGCATGCGGGCCAGCGCTGGACTCCACAGCGACGTGTCCCCTGCCACTGCTGTTGGTGGTGGCGGGTCCCACGGCAGTGTGGCCTCGAGGTCGTCGTCCGCTAGAGCTATGGGGTGTCCCCAGAGTGCGTGCGTCCAGCCTTGGAGCAGCTGGAGTGCTTCGGAACCGAGGGCAATTTGCTCCCCTATCAACGTCGGCATCAGCTGCTGCAGCAGGCTTTGTGCTCCTACTATTGCGTACGGTGTTGCCTCCGCTGCAGGGCTGTGGTGTGGGTTATGCTGCGTGGCGCTGTTGCCCTGCACCGCTCTGAGCCTTTTGGGCGGGGGCTCCCCGTCGGTGCTCGCTGCCGGCGTGTGCTGTGCGTCGGAGTGGCTGTCTGGCTCGGGTGCTGTCGCTGCTGCCTCGTCGTGCCGTTCTGTCTGGATGCTTGCCTCTGCAAGCAGTGCTGCTTGCATCATCGCCTCCTGTGTTTCGTCGCGGGTCCCATAGGCTGTGCTGGCAGTTGTCAGCCTTTGGTGAATGGTGGCGTGGTGCAGGCACTCCAGCTTCTGTCTGCGGGGTTGTTGCTGTGGCTGCTAGGTGCGTGCTCGGGCGCCCTCCTTGCGTGAGGAGTGTGTCCCGAAGTTGGCGTATGTTGCAGTACGCCGGCGCCGGGTCAGTGCTGCTGCTTGCTGGGTTGTTTGCTGGCCCCCCTTCGGGTGGCTGTGTGTTAGATGGGGGTTTTGCAGACTGGCCCCGTGGTGGCTGTTGCATGAATGCGGCTGGGTCCCCTTCTCTCATGCTGGCATTGTGGGCACGGTGGCTCGTTCGTGGGGCCCGCTTACAGTACAGTCTCTCTCTCTCTCTCTCCCTCTCTACCAGGCATGAAGGAGAAGGGGATCCCCCCTCTGCACGCGGACATTCACCTGCATGACAAAGATCTCTTGTTTGCATTCGGACAGGGGAAGGTGCAACCCCTCCCCGCGCATGCATGCGCACCGGTCTCGACGTCTCTGTGTGACACTTGACAGGATGACGCTTGTGGCAACCCGGCTGTCAACCGGGGGACCTGGTGAGGAGCTTGAGTCATTCGCCGTCGTTTGGCTCACGAGGGCCCAAGGGAGCGCAAGACACTCTCTGATTCTGGCCCTTCCGGGACTCGCCCTTGTGATCGCTGGCTGTTCCCCGAGTCAATCTGGCGGGGAACTGGAAGGTGCCCAGCAGTAGGGCAGGGCAACATGCTACCTCGACGTGGAACACAAAATGATCCCTCTGACCAAAGTGTTCTACGACGGCCTGCAGGAAGGGAACCTCGAGAAGACGCTATACCCGAGCACGTTTCTCACGGAGGCGACCAGGCAGAGACGCTCCCGAACGAAACCGCTCAGCGAAGAACAAGGATGAGGGAGTGACTGAGCCAGTGGCAGGGACACCGATGGCGAAAAGTACACCAACAGCGGGGACAAGAACAAGGAACAAAAGAGTACCTCGAGACACACAGCAGCCCCAAACCCGACGGGGACCGGATGGAGGGCCAACCCAAAGGCGGGGTTCCGGGGCAGGGCCCCTGGCCAGCTCGACGTAGTGGAGACCAGACGGAATGGCGCACTCCTTCTTGCACCAGAGCGGGGGCACCCGCCCCCGCGCGCCGTACAAAAAGTGACCTGAGTGACGCTGTAGTTACCTTCCTTCTGCAGTAGAACTCTCCTTCAAACAAATTCGTAATTTCAGGAGGGCACACTCCCTTTTCTTTACAAACACAGAGGCGTGCCTGTAGCAACCATCAGATTTGTTGTGCTGGTAATTAAAGCAAGCTTTTCCCTCCTGCCTTTTACAACAACTGTAAAGGCACTAGGACATGCACCAGTGCCAGCAGACAAACTCCCCAAACGGGGGATCAGGGCACCAGCAGAGAGGCACCCGACACAACCTGGTTTGACGGTACTCCCTACAAGCCAGACTTGCAGCTGTGTTCCAACAAAGTCGCTAGGCCTCGAAGCCGCTCCCAGAGGGGCACTTCTGGTAGAGACCAAGCCCATTCATTCAAAAGAATGGATGGGGGCGGGACTCTCTCGCTCTCTCTCTCACACCACGGGAAAAAGGCCGCCCTTGGAAAAGGAGGCTGCCCACGGCAACTCGACTCAAAAAGACGAGAGCTAAAACAAGCAGTGCAATCATCACTGTTGAACCTGTACTCAGTCGTTGAGTCCCCGAGAGAAGCGCGGAGGGTGTAGGGAGCTATGGAGCATCAACGTGAAGCCTTGAACCTTGTGACATCTGTCGACGAGGGCACCTGCACAGTCAGCGAGCCCGCCAAGCCTCGTGCCAAGTCAAGACAGATCCCTCAAAGCCATATGCTGCTCTCACGACGCCTTTGAGATGCGAACCTGCAGTTGCAGCGTGGCGCACGAAAGCTCGTAGGCCATGCATTGCGAGCGCATGCCATCGCAGGACTCGGATCGGCGACTTCAACTCCTTTTAAGATCTTTCAAAGCCTGAAGCTGATCTTGATCTTGATAGCGCTCGTGTTGCAGCCCGACTGTCGATCTTTGTGCTTGAGGAGATTGCAAGACTCAGTCTGTCGTGTTTACCTAGTTGCAACGCCTACAGAGCCATCAAGTCGGCGATCTTGGGCACACCCACAGAGCTGAGCTCGCGCGTTCCCTTGCGCTGGGTTTCCGCACATCTCCTCCTCGTTCGAGTCGGCACCGTCTCTCAAGGCTCGGCCACAGGAAGCAGCCTCAGAGACCCCGTTAGTCCCCAAGTCACACCCACACACATGCAGCATGCGCACTTGGGGCGTACGCAAACCGCACGCACTGCATGCCCCTTTTGCTTTCTCCTCTACACTCTACATTCTCTGCTTCTGGGACCTCGATCGCATCGGCAATGAAGCGGCCCGATCCATGGCACTCGACGACATCCACATCCAATGTGGTGATGCCCGACTTTCTGCAGGCCTTCGGCTTGATGCATCAAGCCAAGGCCTAAGGAACGCCTGCAGCACTGGGGCAAAAGATGCACCTCCACCAGCACAGCCTGCTCTGCAGGACCGGAAGGGGCAGTCCTTCAACTCCAAAGTCATTCTCGTCATCCCAGTCCTATTCTGCACGAAAAGAGCTTGGACCAAGGCATTCCGGCGCTTTTGCCACTGTTCTGGGTGGCACCACCCACAATGGTACCAACCGACTGGTCATCTTTCTCCTTGCACGGCGCAGGCGTCGGAGACTAGACTCCCTAGCCGGACTGGCGCGACAGTGTCTTCTGCACACTTCGAGGGCACCTCCTGGCCGTCCATCTTCTCTTGACATCGAAACACGACGGTGCCAACGCCTTCCGACCTGCACCACCATCGCGAGCACGGTTTCAACGGCCCAGGCATGCTTACTGGTGATACTGGCTGGCGTCGCAAATATGGCAACGGCGGTTCAGTGGCGCCTCACGTGGCCCTGTGCGCTTGCGTCGAAAGTGAAGGAGCGCCCTCCTGGGCAAAGGAAGCCCGCCGCAGTGTGGGCGGGCCACCATGCCTGGGGTCCCAGGACGAAAGAAGCTACACTACATCAGATGCGATCGTCCCATATCGTCCCATGCAGGCCTTTGCCAGGCAAAGGTGCACACCGATACCGCAGGAGAGCTCCTGCAACGCGAAGGCCAGCAACATCCATTGCTTCGTTTCGTTTCCGCAGTCCAAGCGCAGGCCTGGATGTGACCAGCGCCCTTCTTCTCAACGGCTTCGGCAGCCCAAAAGCAAGCGGACAGGCCGGAGGCGGCCTGTGCACAAACTCCGATAAAGGTCCTTCGCAGAAGAGCAAAAAAGCGGGCGCATCTTTGCTGCAGTGCAATGCCTCCGTGTCAATGGCTAAACTGGCCCCTTTGCATCCAAGGCAAAAGCTCAGACCTGGGGCCACGAGCTGAAACTTCAGATTTGCATCTCCCCATCAATCTGGGCTCCCAGCGACCAGCAGTGATACTGGGGGCTCCTCCCGTAGCACCGAAGATACCAACCTCGGGTGATGATGTGAGACAACAGCTTTTTAAAATCGATGATCGCGCCTGCGGCCTACCGGTGTCTTCTCAGTGGGTACTGGGCGGGCGGCATCTGCGGCCTTTTCTGCCGAGTTCCATTCGCTCATGGAAGTTCCAACCTGCATCGCACGGAACCCACGAGCCGTGCTGTCAGCTTGCGGCTGTGTCCCTGACATACATACCACAGGTGGAGTTGATCAGTGTGTTCTTCCGCATGCCACTCCTTGACAAGGACCACCGAAAGAGAAGGTCTTATCCGCTAGACCATCGTCTAGGCTCCTGTAGAGTGCATCGTAGGTGACTTCCAGCACAAGGCGTTGCCCAGGGTCCATGCCTCGGGCCGGCTTATAGCATATTCCGAGCAGAGGTCAGCAGAGGCTGGAGCATCCTGCTGGGTCTCTGGGTCCCTGGCCCTTGGTCTCCGCCAGGGACAGGCCGAAGAGCTTGTTGTCGAAAAGATCCACACCGTCAACGAAGGAAGCGTGCCTAACACGCGACAAGCAACACGAAGCACAGGCCGCACCAGTTAGAGCAGCACATGAGGGGGAAACTTGCAATTCGTCATGGGCGGATCCTTCTTCCACGCATCGGGGGAAGGGTCGTACCTCGGCAGCATTCTCAGAGCATGTCTGATAGGAACACCAGCATCCGGCAGAATGGCAGAAAAACGGGCCAGACTGAGGCAAATGCACTGTATCGTGTTCCCATCGCATGATGGGAACTTCGATCACTGTGTCGCAACCTCATGCCCGAGCCCCGCCCGCTGACGTAGACAGGCGCCACAGGTGGGGCCGTGGCCTGCTGTCAAGCCCAGGAAGAAGACCTCCGGCTCCCAGGTCACCGGTAACCTGCCAAGAAAGAAGACGGAGCCGGTCTTGTACTTGCAAAGGCCCTTTGCGCCTGGCAGCTGCTCCCTTGCAGACCGTGGTCTGGCGCTTGAACCAAGTTCGGTTCGCGGCATGAATAAAGTTCCTGCAGGGACAAAATCTCCCTTCCAGCTTCCACCCCTCTTAGCGTCCACGCCGTCCTGGGGACGTCTCCCTTGGTGGTCCAATCCTCCGTCGGCTCCTCGGGCTCCATCTCCTTGATCTCCTGGCGCAGAGCACAGAGCGCGGCAGAGCGCGGCAGACGCTGGGCTCTCTGGGCTCTCTGGGCTCTCGCTCTCAAAGCGCCAGAGTCGCCCGAAGGCGCTGGTCGATCCATTGGTCCAGTTCTTGGGCGGGTGGAGTAAGGTGTGCCTCCAGCCTGGCACAACAGAACATAAAGCTGAAGTCGGTTGGCAAAAACAGGCAGGCCGGACTTGTTTCTGTGCATTCGCAAAATGTCGTTCTGCAGCATGAAGGAGGTGGCCACATGCGTGGCCTCACGAAAAGCTGTTGCAACTGTTGCAAACGTCGAAGTGAGTTGCAAGCCGCAAGCGCCTCTCGTCCTCTGCAGAAGAACTTGAAGGAAAGCTGGTCCGTGCGCAGCACGACCTCCCCACGAAGAGGGCTCTGCGGCTCTCTCTGTGCTCTGCTCTCCCCACGTCCCCGCTCCCCACGTTCTGTGCTTAGGGCAGCGACCACGAGGCCGGGCACTGTGGTGATCTCCGAGACATTCGCCCTGCGCGAGGCGGGCGCAGGCACACAGTCCGAGTCCCACCAAAAAATGGCAGTGCCACACAAGGGAAAGCCATCACCAGGTGTCTGAGGCAAGTGCTCGTCATCGTACGGCTGCATTTCTAGGGTCCCTTTGCCAGGGCCTTCGCACGCTCCAGGTGATACAGCTGTCCGATCCAACTGGCATGCGAAATGAGCCGCCTAAACAGACCATGATCAGAATCTTTCTGCTTGTGAAGATGGCGCTCCTCGAAGGCAAGCTGCTAAACACGTCAAAGTGGGACGTGATGCTCTGCCCAGGGCCGGGGCCAGTCGCTGGCTTCTTGGTCGGTGAGCTCTGCCTCTTCTAAGTCGGGGTCGCTCGCCTGCAGGGGCCACAACTTTCAGGGAAGAGAGACGCCCCAAAACCGCGATGACCACCGCGGCCGCACCGCGGCCCCCGGCCTGGTGAAGGAACCCCACGCTCCGACCGCAACATCGGAAGCCGATCTCGTCCTGGAAGGGGGCTGCGGTCTCTACTGTTAGCATCTGCGCTGAACCCGGGCGAAAGCCAATCGCGGTCCTGGAAAGGGCCGATGGCCTGGGCTCGTCACCGCAGCGTGAGACTCGCAGATTCGCTCGTGAATTACTGGGAGCCGGAGCCTCCGCAAGCTTCCACATTGCAAAATCTATGCCTGCGAGGCCATCCTGTGCCAAGTGCGCGCATCTCACGCACGGCGGCTGCAAAAGCAGAGATGGTGTCTGGCCTGAAACTGCTCGCTGCTGCTTTCAGGAAAGTCGATTGATGCCATTTTGGCAATTCGATTTGAACCCTCAACGCCGAGCAAGCCTTCCTGGCAGAGGGCTCCCAAAGCTGCAAAGCTGTGAAAAGCAAACAGGCTGCCCAAAGCCCAAGGCGAGGACCTGAATCAGGACTGCCGGCTGGTACCATTCTTGGGCTTCTAGTTCGGCGGATGCGCTTGCGACCATCCTGGCGATGCAGCTTGATGCAGCTTGGCTGTGTGCCACTGAAGGGGTGCTCAACCAAACAGGCAGGCGCCGCTTTTCCGAGACAGCATGGTTAATGACGCAAAAGCCCTTCACTCTCAAGCACTGCCTGCAAAGGCACAGCTCGTTTCTCAAGCATTCTGTCAGCTTCGTCGCGCCGGAAACCTCTGAGGCTCCGGCACAATCCCCGAACCGGTTTCGGTTGCGGACCCTGGCCCTACATCACTGGGTGGTGGCTCACCGCGTCGAGGCTTCCTTGGAGGCAGACTCTGCAAGCGAGACGCCTTCAAAGCGTGCTGCTGAACTTTGCAGTTTGCAGAAGAGATGCTTCAAATAGTTTGCGACAGAAAGCATCGCCAGGAGCCTTCCAGAGTCCGCGTCACTGCACAAAGATGCCAAAGACAGCAAGACAGCAGGCGACCAACGGATTGCCCTCGACGTCTTGCAGCCACTGCGACAGAGACGCATGCAACTCCAGACAACCGTCCCCTGCATGGCCTCTGGAACACGGTCTCTCCAGGGTCCGTCTCGAAGTGTTGAGCCAGCACGGCAAGCAGTGAAAAATCGGCGATGGGGAGTCGGGGCAGTCGGGGCGAGGATTGAAGTGTTCGGAAAGGCAGCCTACCTGGCTTCCACTTGGTCCACTTCCGAGGCTCCTTGCAAGGGTCTCGACAGGAGCCTGGGGCCTGGGGCCCGGGGCCAGATGCCAGTTTTTGGCAGGGGCCGGGGCTTTCTCCCTGAAGAGAGATGTGGCCAAGCGGCCACAGCCCCAAGGTGCCCAAGGTGCTCCAGGCTCTAAAGCGAGAGAGCTCGCATTTGTACAAAAGGCCCTGGTGGAAGTTTGTACCAAGCCAGGACATCTTAAATCTCAGCTCAAGTCTGACGAAGGACACGTGGGGACTCGGCCGTCCATTCACTCACAGATTGGTGCACACTTCGCCAGACTCGGCTGTCCAGCGCCGTTTCAGGTGCATAAGCACGCGTCGGGTCGAGGAGCACCCTCTGCCTTCAGCATGAAGGGTGTTTCACCTGCCCGGATGCAAAGAAAGCATGGAGAACACCATGAACGAGAACTCCGACCTTGCAGATAAGGCGGGCAAAGCAAGAGCCTTGGCCTGCCAAGCACAAGCTTCATGCAAGTGACAGGAAAGGGGCCGGGCCTTGGGCACTCGAGCAGAATCGGCCTGCAGAGGTCTCTCATACACGGGTTGGGCGACTGCTTTAGGCATCTCAGCCACAGGCCAAAGGCGGATCAGCTCCGGAACCTGAAGCAATGGCCACGCGCCAGTCGCCACGCCGCATGCTGCAGCACTCCGGTGCTTCCCTCACTGCAGGTCGCGTAAGGTCGGAGGTCCTTCCTGTTTAGTTGCTTATTGAGAAGAAAAACCAACATGAAGATTCCTCCCCATTCCTCCTCGACCCATGACAACGGATATTGCCTGCCTCATTACGAGACATGCTGGACATCCTCGACCCTGCGTGACAAGTGACCTGACTCCGAGCGTACCATCTCAGGACTGGAGGCGCATCTAGCGAAACATGCAGAGTCGGCTGATACACCTGCTTCGAAAGGACCTCAGATAATTTCAACAAAAACATGCGCAAAGGCAGGAGAGACAGTCTGAAAAGAGCATTTCGGCGCCAAGAGTCTTCCGCTCAGTACCGACCACAGGAAGGCTCCATTGATGAGACGACGAGTCGAACCCCAGGATGCCGTGACTGCATGCGAGATCTTGGCAGTATATTAATGGATTGATTGATTGTTCGATTGATTGGATAAAACGGCACCTCTCAGCAGTTGTTCACCGCAGCATGCAGAGCTGCTGCAGGAGTTGGTCACCAAGCACTACATGGAATTTCTGAAAGTGAAGACTTCTGCGCTTTGAGGCTCGGCTACAACGAAACACGGCCGACATGCTGAAAAGTGCTGGCCGTCTGCACAAGGCTATTGTGAGAGCTCCAAAAGAGGGCAAAAGTTGGGACGGCAGGGCTTAGGCTTAGGCTCTCTTCGTTGCTCTTATCGGGAGATGTGAGCCTTGCTTTCTGCCCGCGGGGCGAAGAGCGAAGCACAAGACAGATGTGAGCCTCTCGCCCTCCCCGTCCCCTCGGAGGCTCACTTCGCGGCCTGCATCTTAAATACAGCCCTTCTTTGCACTTCGCACGCATCGCTCCAGCAACTACCCCGCTGCTGGATCCTCCCGGCGTATCACCGACCCTGAACTGGGATTCAGGCCTGGCAACGGGGATAGTAGCACCTTCGGCCAGAGGAGCTCTCAATCTGCGTCTCACGGGGACCCTCTTCGGGGGGCCTCCTCGTCGCGATTGTAGCGGACACGCTCGCGAGCTGCTTCCAGCAGCTGCTCCTCTCGCGCGGAAGCACAGCGGAGACGAGGCGTCAAAGGCGGCTCTGCGGCTCAGCGGCCATGCGATCGAAGAGCTCCACTCGCTCCAGGAGGCCTCTCAGGACTCTGCCCAAAGCTTGCGGGTCCAAGAAAGAGCGAAGAGCGAAGAGCGTTTCTCCTCCACTGCAGGCAACGGGCGAGGGCTTGTACTGCAAACATGCCATCCTGGTCACGGGGCGCGCAGGACGGACTCACACGGACTCACGGATGTCGGGGCTCCAGGCTTGAAGCCGGCCATGACCATCTGGCTTTGGCTGCAGCACGAGTAGCAGCGCTTGTCCAGGCTGATCACCTCAGGCCGCGAGGGGCCGCTCCCTAGCCTTCTAGCCTTGTCTGCCGGTCTTGCGCGCACCTGGGAGGGATCCCCTCCCCCCTTCTTGCGAGGCGACCTGGACAAGCGTGCTCTCACACGCACGAGCTATCACACACACGCCTGGGCCTCGCTTCTCAAAGGCTGGCGCTGTTTGGGAGCTTTGGGCGGCGACTTCGACGGAGACTTCGAGGTGTCGTCGACCTGCGGCTACCCGCGGAAATCCATGAGATGTCTCGAGGTGTTGAAAGCCTCAGTTGGCTTCTGCGTGGTAGAGACTGGTTTGTACCCAACCAAGGATACTCGGTGCCAGTCTGCGAACTCCTGCAACATGGGCCCAGCGACGGTCTCGGACCGTCAGATGCCGCGCCTGTCGCTCCAAGGAGACCTGCATGGCCAACACCTGGCCAGCACGTTCCACTGTCAGTACTCCTTGAAGCCCCCCTCCCAGCCCACTCAGACTCCGGGTGCGCCTCCACCAGCGCACCACACAGAGGGTCCAGGCTCTTGCAAGCTGCGCAGGAAGGCGTTGCGTGTGTGACGGTGGCAGCATGCGGTACACACTGTGCGCATGTCATGTCTGTCACGTCTCGGACCTCGCACCGCGTTCTCGACAGATCCTGAGGTCATCGCCACACGGTTCGAGCTGAACTCCCATGACGGTCTCTTGTTTCTGGAAGCGCAAGCAATCGCAAGCACGTGTCCGTGGAGGATGGCCAGCTGCTGTCCAACCTCCTGGGCTTGGAAGCGACAAACGCGACTCAGAGACTCCCAAGGCTCGCATCGCTCATCGCTCCGCTCTCCTTCATCTCCAGCTCGAGGGTGGTTCTCTCGCGCCTCAGCGGCACTCGCACTCGCGGCTGTGCACCACCGCGTGCCCTTTGGATCAAGATGCTTCCTCCGGCGGTCATACTCATCCAAGGCCTCCCGAGCTTATCTCGTGCCACAGAACAGAAGTAAGCCACCGTCCCGCCTCCCGCAACTCGCTCAGGATGGCCTGGGTGGGTTCGGTGCAGAAGGGCATACTAAAAAGGGTGCGATGCGAAGAGAAATGCTTCTCTGCATCACCCTCTCATGCACCTCCGTCCGCGCATCCGCCAGCTGCCGCTGCCGCTTGTGCTCGTCTAGCTCCGCCCTGACGCAATCCAAGCTTGACATGACACGGACCACCCGCTGTCGTGCAAAGTCCTGAAGCCACTGCAGGTAACGGCCGTTTCCCGCTGGATGTCAGCTGTCTGCTCGAGGATCTTCTGGTTTTCAGCACCTGCTGCCAAGGCAGTGACACTGGTAGGCAGTCCGTGAGTTGTGAGCACACGGGCAGAACTCTGAGATGGCCGCGCACTTCGTCCATGAAGCTAGCAATTTGCTTTGCAGCCTGGACATGCCCAAGAAGCTGCTGCGACATGCAACCAGCGCCACGACAAGACGAGTCCATCCAACAAGATAGACATGTGAAGATCTAAGGTTGTCGCCACATCCAGCCTGAAGTAAGCTGACGACATCTTAAGCGGGGTCTACCGACCGGGAACAAGCTTGCCAGCGGCACCCTATTTGGACGCTTTCTTTGTTGGCCGTCACGGCAGCAGAGAACGCCTGGAGGAGAGCGGCCGAGCCGAAGATGAGACCAAATACCGGGCACGCCAGAGCGCCATTGCCGCAGCGGCCCTCCCACACAAATCCGGCGCCCGCGGCGCGCGCCTTCCTCACCGAGGCGGCCTCGCGAGCGCGAGCGGAGGCGAACTCTGACCGGAAGCACACCCGTCGCCCTGGCCCTTGCGACGCTCCGCTCCCGTGGCGCCTCGAAGCGAGATTGTCCCAACCTCGTCGAAGCCGGCAGAATGGAATAGACGGACTTAGACTTCCGGCTCTGCACCGAGGCCCGCTCCAATCTGCGAGCTCCTGCTGCATGTTCTCCAGCCTCTGACTCTAACAGCCAAGAGCTGGAAGAAAGGAAGGAGCGGAGCGTGGCGGAGAGGAGCCACAAATCGAGGCCAAAGGGCTTCTTGCGAGTGTCGCGCTCGCTTTCGAGGCCGAGGACCACCTGAGTTCAAGGGCCTGGAACCCGCGAAGAAAGGCACTTTGCCACTATGAGTGCAATTACCGGGAGAAAAAGCGGAAGCGCCCGCACAGCAGCGAAAGAGTCGGAAGCAAGAGTGGCAAGCTAGGGGCAGCGAGAAGGTCGACCCACTCCGAGGGCTCCGCTTCCTTCAGCTGCTCGAAGCGATCTTGGGAGTTGCAGAGCTCCCCTGAGACTTTCGCGATGGCACACTCGCCTCAGCCCGATCCGGAATCGAGTCCGACGGCTGCAAAAGTGCCGCTTCCTGAGCTGAGCCGCTGCTCCAGACCTAGGACAGCGGAGGAAAAATGCTTCGGCACAGGGTGCCATCGCTGTGCCTGATCGGTGAGCGTGTGATGCTTCAGCTCCATGGACGTCATCTTTGCCTCGGACGCCATGTCTGACTCTGACTCTGAGACGCTCTGAGCCTTCGGCCTCCACTTCTGCTTTCAGGGGTGCCAACTGACAAGGAGGCGACGCTTCAGGCGACTCCAGGCTCTGCAATCGCTTCGGGGGGGGCTGCAGATGCGCTCGTGGCCTCTCCGAACTTCTGCTCCAGACCTCAACTGCAGGCACGGGCACACACTGAACGCTCTGCTCCGCTGCTCTCCGCATCGCTCCGAGCTGCTTGAGAAGAAGGACTGCTCGCAGCTGGACTGCAGCTTCCTGACCGCAGCCACTACGACCACCCTACGTCAAAAACAAAACACGCGAAGCCCCGCACTGGAGGTGCTGGAGCTCATGCCTCAGGCTACGGAACGAAAAGGTCGCTTTGCTGGTGCCGAGGACTCCGTAAGGACCCGCGCCGCACTGCGTCGAGGGCCCGCCGCTGCTGCAGATGACCCTCTTCCTGCCCACAGCCGGGCCACAGTGCCAAGAGCAAAACAAGGATAGAAAGATTGAAAAAAACACCAACGGAGCCCGTCCTTCTGCTTCGTGATCATTTTCAGCTGCTGCAGCTCGACCTCAAACAGACTCCAAGGTGGCGACGCAACGACGTGGGGTCCTCGCAGCTCGCCTCGTATCGCTCGATCATGCTCTCCATCTCGGTAGCCTGTCTCGCCATTGACCGGAAGGAACACGCAATCGCGATCTCGACCCTCGCTGCCGTGTCTCTGCATGACACAACAGAAGACCCTGAAATCGACATTGCCCTGTCTGCTCCTCTCATAAACGATTGAAAAACGAAGGTGCTCGAGTCTTCCATGCTGACAAAAGCAAAGGAAAAGCAAAACAAGTCTGTCTCAGATGGCGTCCCATGCCCCGGAAAAGCCAAATCTACATGGCGGCCTGCTTGTTCAGGGTGGAATCGAAGCGATCGAGATCCGTGCCTCGGCCACCGGTCTTGCAAACCCTGAGAGACAAGAGATTCTACGAGAGCCACCGAGGTAGCGACGCAAGCCATCCATTTTCAGAAGCCCCTCCTGCATATTGCGGAAGACCTGCTGGTGCATCATTCCTCTCCCTACCGTTCGGAATAATTCCCGGCAGTCCCGAGACACGGGCATGATCCATGTCAATGAGCTTCCTAGAGTTGGCCTGAACCGGTCGCGTTGCACACCCCGTGAGCCAGAGGCTGACTGTGACACAGGACAGCACTTTGGCAAGATCCCACAAGCCGTCGATCTGCACGAGCGTTCCCGCTGCTGCCTCTTCGCAAGTACTTCGGTTCTGAGCACAGACATGCAGCTCAAACAGGCAACGGCACCTCCACATGTGGTTCCATGAGCCGCGTGCAGATCGCCTGCACGGAACCTGACAGTTCTAATGTTCACACAGCATCTTGCCTTGCAGAGACTCTTAGGCAAGAACGCTCAACCTCGGCCAGAAGCATGGCCATTGATATTCCCTGGCACACATTTCACCAAGCTGATGCAAGGAGACAAGACTTGCGGAACGCATCGTGCAACTCCCTGCATGAACACGCCGGTGTCGCAGAGTTGGCATCTTCAACACCAGCTCGATGCATAGGGCTCTTAGCACAATGTCGTTAGGCTGTGGGGGGCGGTGCCGCTGTTTTGAGATGAGGATTAACTGGGTCAGGAAGCAAATCTTGAGGTGCCAACGGCAAGGTGAAGGCTGGAGGTCGTCCGAGCAAAAGCAAAAAAAAACGCTGCTGCGCTTCGGGAAATAGGAAAGCCTTACTTCAATTATCATTGCAGGTTCGGTTTGCCTGGAGCGCCATGTATGACGCACCGCAAGCTTAGGCGGTCGCATGCTGCACTGGTGGCAGCTTCTGGCAAAGCCCCAGGATTGCAAGGGTTCCAACAGTTCGTTGGGTCAGTTGTTCATGTGAAAGGAGCCGATAGTTTTGGCTTTAAAGAATTCGGACGTGACAGTTCCTGGATCGTCGTAGCTCTGAACCGCTGCCTTATCTATGTACCACACGGCGTCAGCTTTGTGGGCCTCCGTTTCGGCCTCCACGGTGAAGAAGCCTTGCGGCCACACAAAAGAAGAGGATGCCTCACTCCTACAGTGACCCCCTCGCTCCGGGGGCCCCGGCAGGTCCGCGGCCGGCGGTGCCGTTTGTTCTTCTCCGGGAGCTCCAGGCCCCGCAACTGCACGTGCTCTTGCAACAGCTCCAAGACCAACTCCCCCGTCTTCTTGTCGTAGTGGTGCCTGAGCTGTCTTCTTCATGTCAACTGAACTGGCATCCCTCCTTGGTTTTGGCGTTGCAAGGCTTCTCTCTTTGTGGGCGTTGGGCGGGATTTCAGGGTTTAGGCCTAGGCCGGGCCAGGTGGGCCAGGTGCAGGGGTCGCTGGAGCACCAGGACTTCCGGATTCATGATGAGAGCTCGCGCGAGATGGAGCTTCACCTTCTCTGAATAGGTGAGGCTCTCTTGCCAGAGGCTGTCGGACCCCTTGAAATCTTTCTCCCCCTCCTCCTCCTCACCAGAATCTTCGTCCTCCTCCGTGTTTGGTGATGGTGCTCCTCGCAGCTTCTCCTGCCTCTCTAAGTCGTCCTTGATCAGGTCCAGTGTGACCTTCATCTTCAATCGCTCACAGATTTTGCGGACCCGGCGCGGGTCCACCGTCATAGGGTTTGGACAGCCGAAGATCAGGTTCTGCCATGCAGACAAGTTCAGAATATATGCCTCCTGCGTCACGTGTAAGATCCTCAAGTGTGACGGGATGAAGATGGTGCCATCCTGGGGGAAGACCATGTGCCCGAGCAATTTCAGCAGCGTCCTCAGCTGCACCAAGTAAGGCATGGACTGTTTACGGGTTACTCAAACCCTGGGCGAAGCATGTCAACCACATCAACCTGATCTCAATTCCAGGCAAAGCTCGCCTTCCCAGACCCGTGCGAGCCCATCACGGCCACCAGCTTGCCCTGGTCGACAGAGGCATCCACATTCTCAAAGATAGGCTCGTGCCGCATCCATCCGTAGAACATGCCAGACAGCCTTGATTGCTGAACCCTACTGTCGCTGTTTCAGTGCTTGACCCTGTCGATTTCCGTAGCCTGACTGCCGGTGTATACCTTTGACGCTTTACTGCAAAGTTAGGACCTGCTTTGGGTATGGGCGCATTTCCGGTAACTCTGTATCGTAGAGACATTGCACCACCTGTTCGACCAAGCTTCTTGATTGGAATCAGGTCCGTCTTGTACAGGATCTCGGTCCCGCCGTCAGCGCCATCCGGTGCCGTGGCTGCACTGCTGAAGGCCTTGTCCCTTGCTTCCTTCCTTAGCTGGCTTGGCACGCTCATGAGAAAAGCTGCTCCCCCTTCTCTCACCTACTCTCCGACTTCCCGCGCTTGCATTGCCACATGCGCAAAGCGACGTGAGGTCTCTGCGCTTGCGATTGACTCCCTTCCAGGTCAGCAGGTCTGTCTCCTTGTTGAAGTAGGATGTCAGGTACTGAATCGATGCGAAGGTGTCCGCCAGCTCCAAAATCATGTTGTAGGCATCTGCGAACTCGGAGCTGACGTCCTTCATGACTTGGATGGTGGCCAAGAAGGTTCCCAGTGAAATCGTCCCCTCAAACACGCTTTTCGCATCCATGGCTATGTAAATACTCACAAAGACTGGCCCCAACCATTTGGGAAAGTACTCGTTGTTGACAGCTTCAACCTTCTCAGGAATGTACTCCCGCCGCAGCTCATTCGTCTGTCGAGCGAAGATTTCGTTCATTTGGGGCCGTTGGAAGTAGTCGGCAATAAGACGGTATCGCTGGCACACCTCGGCAGCCAAAGCCAGAACAGAGGCCTCGATGTCCTTGCGGTCATCTCGGTTCAGCGGCATACATGTCTTGTACCTCTGCTGACACAGCAGGCCCTTGATGACTCCACACAACCGAAAAAAAAACCTCTAAAGTAGCCGCGCCACGCCAGAAAAAGTGCCATTAGGGATGGCATGGCCAAGATCAGGTAGATAGCTGCCGGATTCTCTCGCAGCGTGAAGTAGGTGAACACCGCCAACCTGGAAGCCCGCGTCGATCGATCAGCTTTTCGCGAAGGCTCCTGCTTGCGGACAAGCTGCTGTCCGAACTTCTGGAAGAGATCTATCAGCTTGGTGTAGCCCTCTGCAGCACTTTTTGATCCCATGCTCAGCGCGTGCTGCATGTCCGTCGGAGGCACGGAGAGTCGTGACTCCTCGCCTCAAAACTTTAGCAATGAATGCCAAAGCTACAAAGAGCTTTCGGCACTAGTTCAGTCCAGGGGGCTGTAGTTGAGGTATCGGCGGAAGAGGCTGGCCTGAAGGTAAAGCCTCAGGTGTCCCTGCACGTCGAGCAATGCCTTCACCAGGTCCCAAGCATGGAGCACCAGCATCGGAGCCACGTATAAGCCAGCAATAACATAGGCCGTGTCAAGCCGGGAGGGCAGAACAAGCCGCTCTTTTGTTTCTGGGTCATTCATGTTGAACAACACATCCACCAGGTATATGTTCAGACACAGGACGAAGTACCGGTAAACATTCCTCAGCTCTTCTCTATTACTCACAGGATGATGCCGCGGCGTAGCGTTTACGTTCTTACTCCTGTACATACTCCCACTGAAGTCATCTTGTTTGGAATGTCGGCCGGTGTGCGAATCCTGTGACAGTCTAATTTGACATTTCTTCGGCACACCTTCATGCGAATAAGCATCCCCAAATTTCCGGGATGTGCATGGAATGTTTTTTGAAATTACACCAGCGAAGACCCCAAACAGAATGCATCGAATCATACCGGTTCAAGTTGGAATGTGTTGGCTCCCAATCTGGCTTCGCCAGCAGATTTTGCGAAGAAGATGTTTAGGCATTAGGCGATATATTTCTGCGAAAGAAGAGTGGGTGGTGGGACTAAAGCATGTGGGAAAGTTTTTGGGGGTGTCCAGGGAGCATCGTTCAGAAGATCTTGCTGCAACACCATGCAGGGAAAACATGCACATTTCTCCCGCAACTGCCACATTGCTGCCGCCTTTGCAAAACAGGATATCTGGCCTCTGCTGCAAACGTTTGCGGGCGAAGTGCAAAAGAGCTTGGTATTCGTTTCGGTTGGCTGTCGCACGGGAGGAAAACGAGAACTTTGCCGTGCATGTTTGGCAAGAAAGGTAGGAAGGGATTTGTCGGTTTACAAGGCAAACAAAAAGCTCTCTTAACACGGAACCATTCACGACTTTTTCCGCAGACCGAACGAAGATCCACAGAATCTTGCTACAGAAACCACGCACGGGAAAAAACACACACAACATTGCCGTTTGCAAGACAGGATATGTGTGCCTCTGCTGTAGACGTTTGTGGAAGAAGCGCAAAACAGGTTGGTATACGGATCGGTTGGCTGTCGCACGGGAAAATTGTGTGACCTTTGCGGCACAATTATGGCGAAAAGAAGAGCCAATGGGCTTGTCGGCTTACAAGGCAAACAAAAATCTTTCTTTACACGGAACCATTCACGATTTTGTCTGCAGACCGAACGAAGACCCACAGGATCTTGCTGCCGCAGAAACCACGCACGGAAAAAGACGCAACATTGCCGTTTCGCGAGGCAGGATATGTGGCCTTTGCTGTAGAAGACGTCTGTGGAAGAAGCACGAAAGAGGTTGGTATACAGATCGGTTGGCTGCCACACGGGAAAAAGTAGGAACTTTGCCCCGCAAACTTGACAAAAAGAAACGCTAATGGGTTTGTCGGCTTACAAGGCAAAATAGAAATCCTTCTTTACACGGAACCACTCACGATTTTGTCCGCAGACCGAACGAAGATCAACCGAATCTTGCTACCGCAGAAACCACGCACGGAAAAAAACACACACAATATTGCCGTTTTGCAAGACAGGATATGTGGCCTCTGCTGTATAGACGTTTGTGGAAGAAGAGAAAAACAGGTTGGTATGCGGATCGGTTGGTTGTCGCACGGGAAATGGTGTGAACTTTGCGACACAATTATGGCGAAAAGAAGAGCAAATGGGTTTGTCGGCTTACAAGGCAAACAAAAATCTTTCTTTACACGGAACCATTCACGATTTTGTCTGCAGACCGAACGAAGACCCACAGGATCTTGCTGCCGCAGAAACCACGCACGGAAGAATTGCAAAACAGGATACCTGACTTTTTCTGTAGATGATTGCGGAAGAGGCACGAAACAGGTTGGTATACGGATCGGTTGCCTGTCGGACGGAGCAAATTGGGAACCTTGCCGTGCAAACTTGGCAAAAAGAAGTGCGAAGAGCTTTGTCGGCTTCTAAAGCAAACTCAAATCTTCTGTTGCACGGAACCATTGACGATTTTTCCGCAGACCGAACGAAGAGCGTCGTCCACAGGATCTTGCGGCAAGTTTCCCGCAAGTGTCACAACCTTGCCGTTTTGCAAGACCGGATACCTTGCCTCTGCTGTAGACGTTCGTGGAAGAAGCAGAAAAGAGATTAGTATACGGATCGGTCGGCTGTCGCACGGGAAACGGGCAACTTTGCCGCACAAACAAGGCAAAAAGAAAAGCGAAGGAGTCGGATTACATCGCAAACAATTATTTTCCTTACACGGAACCATT